CAAAATGATCGAGGGGCTAAAAATTAATAAGCCAAAAAGGGGGATTAGTTATCATCATAAACTACTTAAATTAGTACATGAGGAATCTATATCTGAGTTTCTATTTTACATTATTTTCAGATATGATTCTCGATTATCTGTTCAAATGAACAAATTAAAAGTGGTCGAAGATCAAATTCGGATGGACTCATATATAGTATAGTGCCGAAATTGGAGGATTCCAAATATAGTTTCCAATTGGCAATTCGCAAGGACATCAACTCACAAAAAAAAGGTCAAATCGGGGGGCATCGGGACCCCATTACCATAAATGGGTCAAACAAGGAGCATCGATCCACTTGCAAATTTTAGCTTTAAATACACAATAGGCATAGTATTGTCACTAATTAAGAAATAAATGTTGTCATAAGTTAAAGAATCGAACCTGTTAACACCTTGACCCCAAAAAGCTTTTCGTTTGTTCCGTTAGTCAGTGGTCGAGTCCACACGGCTAGCTAAGGAATCCAACATTAATTTATTATTAGAGATATACAACACACAAAAAAAGTCGTCCTTTTTTTTCCAGAGAAATTTACCGTTAGATCATATAAATTACTTCGAACTTATCCATTTGTTGGATGAAACTTTACGCACCGACCGCGACGAATATAATTCACTATAGTAAAACTATCACCTTTTTATTACACTGTGTGTGTGTGTGTGTGTGTGTGTGTGGCCATGATTAATTCCCAAAGAATTACTGTAACCCATTGAATATGGAGAAATCGGTATGAATTAAACATGTCAATTTCAACTTTTAGGCGTCAAGCGTTCAGTATTTCTTCCTTACCACTCGGCTCAGCTTTGCACATCATGATATTGCTTACATCGTCGCATCGTTCATCATTTACAGGTGTATCTACAGAATCAGCCTCTTGTGCTATTGGCGTTTTGCTTGATATATTAATAATTCATTAATTAATTTTTTTGACCTTTTAATAATTAATTAATTCAGTCATTTGATTTTTACTGCTTAGGAATCATTTCATAGTTGTCTAAAGTGTTCAGGACTTGTTGATTCTGTAATAATTAATTGCTGTACTTAATTATTATATGTGTTGGAAAAAAGATCATCATTTTGGAAAATTCTGTCCACACTCGATCGCTTTCCTGTATGAGCTAATGATAATTTCTGACCAGGACTTAATCAAAGAAGGCAAAACTTAGTACTTAATAACAAGTGTTGGGTCCAATTATATGTGGCGAATGAGAGGTTGGTGCTACGTAAGGTATACTACTGTTAAGCGATGATTAATTAAACAAACCATTCGGCTTTTGACAAATATTGCGTTATAGCTGAGCTAATGTGAACACTTGTTTTCTTTCCAAAGAAGCCAAGATATGCTTTGAACTACTGAAGATAAGGTCGTCTTTTAGAATGAGAGTTAAGAACGGACCATTGACAAGCCAATGGATATGAAAGCTTAATTGACTCCACGAGGGTCAAGTTAGCCCCGCACATGTAGTTTATTCATGGACGATATCGTTGGCGTGCATTAAATTTATATAATCCACCAGTCACTGAGATAAAACCTAATTTAAGAGTTGATATTGGTTTTATATATAATACCTATTTTACATGTTTATTAATTTTTTTAAATTAATCCTATTGATATTCCCACAACAATATACAATCCGGTAGGAGAGAGAGCAGGAGAATTAAAAAAGATAATTAGGATATTTTATAAAAAATATATCACATTAACTAATTTAGTTAACATTCTTAATCTATTTAAATTAATTAATTAATTAGGTTTTACATCAAGGATATGAAGAGTAATAATATATTAAATAATTGTATATTATATGTTTGTTGCTTGAATTTTACGTATGACATGTGCATCAAAAAATTTGGAAATAATTGTATTTGCAACATACGTTAATTAAAACGAAGTGATAATGTGAAGAGATCTTGTAATTTATAAATACATTTATATGTGTTTTTCGAATAGGGAAGTAATCCGCTTTAATCTAATCAGTTCTGGATTCGTCTCGCATGAAATTAGTGCTGTCAAAAAAGCAAAAGTGATTAAAGATGGGTGCGTGTGCGTGTGATTTGGTTTGGGGTTGGGGTTAATTAAGTGGATGGGTGACGATGCAGCCCCCTTTGCAAGAGAAGGAACAATTTTGTATCAGTTGTACTGAATATCGATTGATTGACGCATGAAGGAAGGAAGGAAAGAAAAAGGGAAAACATTAATCAAATTGTACGTAGTCAAGATCTATTTGATAACGTCAAATTGTCAAAGACTTCCAACGCAAGGCAGGGGGTATTTTGGGGTTTTTACTCATCATGTATATTAATTGGGTCCGAAATTCACAGATAGAAATTGATTATACGGCTGGCCCATGCATACCCCTACTTTCAGAATAATATGCAAACTAATTAATAGTTTAATAACTAAATCCAGGAGCAGATGACAGGGAGCAAGAAGAAAAGATCAAGGCTATTTATATTTATATCTACTAAAATTCAGGAAATCAAATTGTCGCAATCCAGTCATTGAGAATTTTTATAGCTTACTTTTTAGATGTCATTAATAGAGAGGACGAGATAAAGATCAAGACACAAAATTATTTTATTTGATATTATTTTTTTAATAAAAAGATCAAAGCTATTTATATTTATATTTAAACAAAAAACTACAAAAAACTATAAAAAACAACTAAAAATTGTTTTGGTTTTTTTGTTTTTAAAAACATATTTCTATTTTGGGAAAAATGACTTAAAAAGAACATTTATATTGAATATAAGAAATTTCAGAAAAAAAAAGCAGCTAATACTTAGAAAGAAAAGGAAGGGAAGCCTGAACTGGAATTATGAAAATATGAGGAAATGATCAATACGCCCTTGTGTGACTAAGTTGTTATTTAGAGTTCTATCGTTGTTATTTTAATTCACAACCTATTATTTTCAATCCACAAGTTATATCATAATGAAAAGTTTTAATAATCAATTTAGAACATGTAATTTCTAATTCAGAAGTTATAAATTCAAGTTATCCTGTTGTTATTTTCAGTTCGCATAAGGACATATTGGTTATTTTTTTCACATTGTCATAATTCCAGTTAAGGCCTCTCTTTCTTTCCTGTCATTTTGAAATTTTTTATCTCAAGCTTCTTTTTTTATCAATTTTGCTTCTTTTTTTTTTCAAAAATACCTAACTAGAAACAAATTATAAAATAAGTTCTTTAAAAAAAATTGCTTTCAAAATAAGGGGAAGAAAAGGGCCTAGATGTCCTGGCCGGCCGGGGAATCTATTCAGCATCGGCAATTTTATAAAACATGTGGAACAATTTGCTGCAAAACGTAACTAATTAAGTTGATTGTGGCCTAAACAAGAAAAGGTTATTAATTAAGTTGATAATTTGTTCGAAAATGATTGATACTGGGTTTCACCCGCAATTCCCTAAATACCCTCAACCCTGCCAGAATAAAATCGTCGATCTGTGACATCTAATCCTTGATTTGAGTGCAGACGCACACTGCCATTTCAAATTTGGACTGCTACTTTTCCACACATTCGTAATCCGCGTCAGAGTCGTTGATCGTGCCCTGACTTTTGCTAGAAAGTCTTACCCTCTCCTATTCCGTATATAATAAGATGAAAATAATTGAAAAATATCATTGCTCAGAATTGATTAAAATCAATAATCCATAAACATGTAATATATATATTTTATTTTCGAAAAATACCATTATTTATAAAGAAAGAGTGAATGAAAGAGAAGATGAATCCCAAAAAAATGTGTGATAGATAACTTAATGCACCGATATAACATGTAATCAATATAAATAAAAATGAAAAAAATTAATTAGCCAAAACTTCATAAATTTTTCTAATTGTATCCTATAAGTAGAACTAGAAGAATATATAATAATTAATATAGAACTATATATGATTGTGGCATCACATTGCATTGATGCGTACACTACATAGTTACCTCCGCAAGATACTTTTAACCAAATCACAAGAATATAATATTCTTTCTCGTCAATAATATAATATATAATAAATGGTTAAGGTATAAATTTATCTATAAAATATTCTGACAAGTACACACATGACACTATAACATTTACTCGACTATAAAAGTCCCCTGAAAATTAAAAGATGCAAAAATGTCATAATCATTAATTTAAGCAAATATTTTTTTAACTTTTAGAATATAAACAAATGTGAGGTCCATCATTAAAAAGTAACGGTCATTTGAGAGATGGCTGTGGCATTTTTGTACCCTTCGAAAACAACATGGGCAATGTTGTACCAAAGTGAACATTATAACGTTATGTACATCTATGAAGACTTCTAGACTTGTACCTTAATCCAATAGTAAATATAATTACAAGAATACATTTTAATTGTGAATTTATGTAGTTATGTGCGAAAAATGATATATCTATTATATCATTAAATAATTATAACATATTTTTATGTTTTGATCCAAAAAAATTAACAAAAAATACCAACAATACTGTTTAATTTTATGGAATTTAGACTGCGGTAAAGGCATGAATAGTATGGTAATAATAATAATAAAAAAGAGGCATGCGTAGAATATAGTTAGGCGAAAACAATGTTGACCCTTCCCCGGCCACATGCGCAAAAGGAAGGGCAGTTTTACTAACAGTTAACTACCTTCTTCATAAATCCCATTAGCGCCTGGATTTAAACCTTAAACCATTGTTAAGTGTTCACTGGCCCCAGAAAAAACAAAACAAAACAAACTAATTAAACCATTGTGGGTGATGAAGAAGAGAGAACTCAATTCAGTAATATTAATGCACACGCACACCTAGATATCAATGATAAATGGTATGTTTATATGCAATAATCTTCTTCCAATCTACGGAAAGTTGAATCTCAGGGAAACTGAAAAATATTTAAACCAAACATTTGAAAAAAGAAATACCAGAATTGGTACAATGGTCATAATTCTACAAATTGAAACCAAACATATCAATCTCCCGTCATCTTTTTCTCTTCAAAATCAAGAAGCTCCTCCAGCAATTTATCATCCAAATACTCGAACTCGAACACTTGTTTTCCTTGCGCATTACTAATCGTCGGGGAAGAAGCAGAGGAACGATAACTGTCCATGGCGTCAGCACCGCCGGCCGAAAGTGGGTATTCATCGGGGAAGTTGAGGATAGCAAATGGGCCTCTCATGGCATAAGCGGCTCGGTCGTAGGCCCTGGCGGCATCCTCCGCCGTGTTGAAAGTCCCCAGCCACACCCTCTGGCCCTGCCTCGCCGAGTCCCGGATCTCCGCCGCGAACTTCCCCCACGGCCGACGCCTCACTCCCCGGTACCGGACATCTCCGCCACCTTCCGCGTCCTTGGCCTTTCGAGATCCCGACGCATGTCCCTCCATGTCGGGCCTTGTTATTTAGCTGTCTCTGCTTGTTGCATGCATGGTTTAGTTTGTAGTTACTGAGATCATATATATATATGGTTTGAAGAAGTAGGAGCCCGAGGACCAAAGAGAACCAGGCACGTGGCTGGGAAGTGCCGAGATCATTTGGCACGTTTGGCGAGGAGCTTCTACTGGACATTGAAAAGTTGCATGTCCATTGTATCTGGACGGTCAAGGGACGACGGCTCAGGGGGTTTAATGTGAAAACCCTCTTTTTAATTTTTGGATCATTTTCTTGCGTTACTTTCGTGTCGATCTTGGGAGATTTTTGAATCTAGTTTCCCTCATGAAGCTCACGTACAGACAAGCGGAATTCAATCCAGTCCAGGGCCCAGCGGGGGAGCATCTAATTGCGAGACATAATCAATCAGCAAACGAAATCTAATCATGGGGTTTTTCAAATATTGAAAACGTCGATCACGTGAAGATTTCTGATTTTGTTTTCCAAGTGAAAATGGGTCACTTAATTTGTGGAGTCTTATCGAATACGGATTTATGCTGATTAGGAAACCCAATATTCCAATGTCATCACTTTCTTGTATGTATCTTCAACGATCATGACTGTGTGGTAAGAATTCCGGGAAAATCCAACGGAAAGGGTTGATTAATTCTTCGCAAACCCTTAAGTTTATTCGATGGTGAGGGGGTTCAAGAATCTCCACCGGATCAGTCCTGCTTCTGGAGATGTGAACCTGATTCCATAAGGGGCGTACATTTCAGAAAAAGGAGGAAGGAGGAAATGAGAAAGGGTACTATTGAGGGCGATGAAGAAGAAAGCAGAGAGAAAGCAAACAGTTTTTTGGGGGGGGGGGTGAAGATGGGCGATTAATGAAGTTGCTTGTATGCCGTCAAAGAGTGCGACTCTCCTCTGAAAAGGAGTCAGAAATCCACTCCACTTTCCTTCCCTTTTTTTTTTTCCTTTCTAATGATAAGATCACTATTTTTTTCTCTTGGAGAGCCAAATTAATGTATAGATATTAATAAAATTAGTTAAATAAGTTATTTATAAAGTATATGTGTTGGTTTTCTTTAATTATCTGGGTATAATGTATTGATAACAAAAATAGTTTAAAAAAATTATAAATTTAAAAAAAATATTTTCTTAACTAATCCCCAACATTTACAGTACAAAAGAGCAATTAATATATATTTGCTGTGCCAAATGCACAGGATTGATATAATATTAAGGAAATCTTAAAAAATACTATTAAAATCCAAAATTTTAAATAAAAATTACTATAAAAATATGTTGTCGTTTACTTTTTGAATATAGTTTTTTTATAAATATAATAATTAATATTATTTAAAATTTTAAAATTCCACTCTGATTTATTTTCAGATTTTTCCTACAATATTTGTAGCATCAGGCTAAGAGCATGTTTGACAATCTTTGCAAAAGTGATTTTGGACCCCAAACTATAGTTCGGGTCCAGAAATTGCCAAACAGTGACAAAAACACTCGAACCATAGTTTGGGTCAAAATCATGGTTTGAAAGCTTAAAACATTTTGAAAGAAAATGAATAAGGGGTGTTCAGATGAAACCAAACCATGATTTGGAGAATGGATTTTTGAGATAATAAATTTTGTGAAAAAATGATTATGATAAAGTGAGAATGTTTGGATAGTTGTTATCAGAAACACTTTTTATATGTGCAAATTACTAAATGTCTGTTTGGCAATATGATGAAACTATGGTTTTGGGACCCAAACCATATTTGCCAAATAGGGGGAAAATTAACAAACCACAGTTTTGCGCCAAAATTATGGTTTTGGGTTCAAAACCATGATTTCAGAATAAGTGAATCTATTCTGCTTCTGACTCAAATTGGAGAGTATGATTGTGCCTGTTAGAATAGATCTCAACGATAATATGACTTTAACACCCCTCAATTATTTTTTTTATAAACATTTTTAATATTTTATTTTATAAATATATATACACATATTAATTAATAATTAATTACAATATCTTATATATTATTAATTATGTTGGTAAAAAATATATTATTAACAATTTTATTCTTCAAGTCAAAATATATTATAAAATCTATTTTTATGTAATTATCATATTAACTTATGCTCTTTTTAGTAATTTGCACATATAAAAAATGCTTCTGATAATAATTATTCAGACACTCTTACTTTATTAGAATCATTTTTTCACAAAATTCATTCTTCAAAATCTATTCTTAAAAATAACTAAATTTGCAGAAACTATTATCAAAACTATAGTTTGGTATTATCTAAATATCCCATAAATCTAATCCGTCCAACAAGCTTTATAAGTGTAATCATTATAACGATACAGGCCTGGCGAAATTTGCTAACGCCGGAAGATGGTGCTTTGATGTTGTTCGATTATTCCCGCTTGCTGAAAAGATCGTATTGAAAAACAATTTTTTAATTATAATTTACCAAAACTAAATATATAAGAGAATTTTTATTTTAACATTTATGTATAATATTGTAAATACCAATATTATGCTGTAAACAAGCATATCCGCTCCAATGAATAACTAAGGGGAAAAAAAACATAGTATGTCACATTATTAATGTAAGAATTAGATAACTAATTTAAAGACATTAAAAAATTATTTAAATTTGTTATTTGTTATAAATATGTTTTGGTGTTGGTAAAAATCCCCTACAATTAATTAAAATATTTTAAAAAATAAAAAATAAAAAAGATTAATATCGTGTATTTAAAATTAAATACAAACTTTTAACTAAACCATGAGATATCTGACTTGTTTGTATAGGTTCCAAAAACAAAATAAGTGAGAGAATTTATTATTTGAATAATTTATTGGAATAATAAATGTAAATATTGAGATAAATAACTAAATGGGACAAAGTGAAAAGATATATACAACTTATTTTCTTTTGGAATATCTTTTAACCCAGCCGCATCGTTAGTTTAATCCATTAGTTAAAATTTAGCTATCATTTAAAAAATAAGAAAGAGTGCTCCTCGCTAGTATGCGGAGTGCATATTTTTTTTGTTTTGTTTTGATAAGTATACTATCTAAACTATCAATTCTATTCTTTAACGGAAAAAATTACCACTTCTACTCTTAAAATATAAGAACTAGTTAAATATTTAATTTTGTTCTAAATATAAAATTAAATTTATTTTGTTTATTATATTAATTTATTTATTTTTAAATTGTTCCTGTAATAGTGTACATGCTAAAAATTTTATTAAATGATAGTTCTAACCAACACATGTTATTAATAATGATAGTTTAGAGAAGACAATACCTAATTATTATAAATAAATAATTCAATAATTTTTTTAATCTACTCAAATTAATTAACTAATTTTATCAAGAATTAGATGTGATACCAATTATATTCTTTTCCTCGATCCATGTAGATTGTTTTAGGCTTTGGGCCCCTTAACAATGTTCCCCCCCCCCCCTCAAGAAAAGCTAAGTGTGCTGCATCTGACATTTTTTCCCCCAACAGTATACGCAAAAATGTATCGACTTCTCTGTATATGTAAATTTCATTAAAGTGGGAACTTTTTTGCTATTTTTTCAGTTAAATTAATATATAAATATATATAAAAAAAGAAATTTATAGCTAGCTTAATAATATGTATAAGCAGTGCAATTTATTTCAGATATATTGAGAAGACCGGGTTGGGTTCTCATTATTGGTGTTCAAACAGCGTACAAAATCAAGTTTTCCTTAGTTATGCTACTATAATTTAAATAGAATAGTACTCGTATTAAATTCGAGCCGTAATCCTAAATGCTGACATAGAGGTTTCGAGTTGGCTCTCCGGCAGAGAAGAGGCGCATTATAAGTGGTTGGGCCCTTCCAGGTCCAGAAAGATGATGGGCCCATGTTAAAAACATAGGGCCATTATAAAACACGGATCAAGAACCAAGGGCTAGTTGGAGTCATTTTGTTGTCCGAATTGAATATCGAAGCGCGAGCATCAGATTTATACATAACATCTCCACAGGAAATAGCAAGGGTTAGATCTAACCAAAAAAAAAAAAAATAGTTTCTGACAACATAGTGAGCCGAATCTCTACTTAAAGAGGTGTCCATATATAATACCTGAAAATATTTTGAATAGGATTGCTTCTAATAAGATAATACTTATACCTACTAAAAAAAAAAGGAGGTTGGGCCTAGCAGAGAATATCAGTTTCTCACAGTGTAGGAAACTAAGATTTAAATTATTGTTAAGAGAATTGTCTACATTTAATGCCTGACAGTGCTTTAAATATAATTACGTTCAATAGAAGGATGCTTATACGCACTAAGAAAATTCTCTCGATGAATTCAAATAGATAATTCCAGCTCTTCAGTGACAATAGTGTATATTCCAGCAATCAAGTTTTAGGCTGAACCACCCTCAGAGAGAAATGTTGCGCATGAACGAGGGGAGAAATATTCAATGAACGCGAAAGTATAAAAGGAATTTGAAATGAAATAATAAGGAAGGTGGTCCCTCCGTGACCCTGTCCCTCAACCTGCCCTCAAAGCGCCTTACATTTTATTAATTTTTGGGACGGCGAGAATATGTGTTATGCTGTGCCTTCAGAAATTCAGCGCGAACTTGCCTACATATATTTTTTATTATTACTTCTATGAGTTGAAGGGGAGCAGAATATTAATGGCACCAACCAACTCGACAGAATTTCGGATAATCCTTCCTGCGTGTGCTACAAGCAACCGCATGGCAAGCAGTTGTAAGTTATTTTACCCTGGAGATCTCACCCATAATATATTTGAGCGACAGAATCAATTAATTTTCATGATTTTATTTTGTGAGGTGAGCCACACACATTTTGTTGCATAAATGTTCATTAATTGTTGTGCGTGGTGATGATTTAGGAGTGAAGTGGGCACAGGAGTCACATGGAGGACTTGATGCGGATGGCAAGAGACTTGGAATAGTCATATGAGAAAAATGCAGAGCGTTCAACAAATATATACATATGAAGGGCTCAAAATTGGCAGTAATTAACAAAGACATGGAGTCGTTTATTAATTATTAATTATTAATACAAATTCATGGATCAAAAAATGGGGGTGCTGGCAAAGCACGTGAAGGCACGTGCGCAAAACACCCCTCTGCGACTGGCTGTGTTTATGGTTCAAAGATGTGAAACTGAAACAGTTTAGGCTCACTTGGTTGGTCAACCCCAGGTTCTCCTCCGTCCAATCACCTGAAAGTATCCATCACTTCCTTTTACTCTCCGATTATTTGAATCTCATCAAATGACCCTATCACTGTTGCTACATTGTGAGACGTAGCTTTTTATAACAACATTTGTTTTGCACAAAATAAAAAATTTTGTGTTTTCTTACAAACTATAATTGATTCTCATGAATATAATCAACAGATAACAGGAACAAAACTGAACAATCGAGTTCATCTCATGCGCAAGTCAGAAAAGATGGACATCAGTTTCTCGCCCATTGAACCTCTGACGTTGTCCGCTCACCTCCCCAGTAAACTGTCTACCAAACAGCTGTGCTCTACGCTCCTTCTGTTGCACTAATTCATTCTTTGATACTACTGTTGGCTTTTAATATAAAATCTGTTTGATTTTTATTTTGATTCTAAATATAAGACTCCAATTCACTTTGTTTATCATATTTATTTATTTTTTCAATGTAGTCTTTCTAATAATAGTAATTTTAGCCATCACACTTGATTAGTAAGGATATTTTAAGAAACACAATATTTATTTATTACAAATAACTCATTTAACTTATTTTTTTAATCTCCTCAAATTAGTTAACTAGCTCTTATAATTAGGAACGGAGGTAGTATAATACTTCGTTTGATTTTTATTTTAGTTATAAATATAAGACCTCAATCCATTTCAACTCTCATATTTATTCTCTTTTTTTTCCAAGTTAATCTTTGTAATAATGATAATTGTAGCCAATATACTTAATTAGTAACGATATTTTAGGAAAATCAATGCCTATTTATTACAAATAACTAACTTAATTAGTTTTCTTGATTTACTTAAATTAGTCAACTAGTTCTTATATTAAAGACTGCAGGTAGTAATTTATATATTGCTATTTCCTTTGACTGCATATACATATTAATTCGACTGATTCTAATCATGTAAACTTTAATTATCACACTTGATTACATATGCATAAAAGATATTCATGTTCATTCATTAATTTAATATCATTATTTTAATCTCTTCACAAATCAATGTTTTCAGTTTTCAAAACCGTGACACATGTGCCACTATGGTTTTAAACGATAAGTTAGCAAGTCAATACTTGGAGACCAAGACTTTGAATCAGAATTTTAAACGGGAAATAGAATATGGAGCAAAATCGATGACTCCGACTTCACATATCCCACCCACAAATTAACACTAACAGAGGCCGCAGGCTGTATGGTCTGCGACTTTACTCAGCTGATTCAATAAATGATGAACGAACTAAGTTTATATATATATATATAGAGAGAGAGAGAGAGAGAGAGATCAGGTCCTTCTAGATGAGATTACTCCCCCAGATCCGAACCTAAAAAAATCAACTTGTGAATAAAATAAGCAAAAGCGCTCCATTTAGGTGTACCCGTAATGAATGATACCTTGATTTATTAGTCTTCTTATCTCTATCATCTTTAAACAAAACCAGGCGACTGTGTATCATATGGGATATTTAACTTGCAGAAACAGAGAAGCTAGATGAACAAGTTTCAAATATAAAGTACCAACAAGGATTATATCGTTTAGCAGGAGCAGACAGACGCGCATTAAAATATCAAACAGAGGCAAGAACTTGTTGATCTTGTGTGATCTACCTTGGGTGATGGAATGGAAAGTCGAGAAAACTTGTGGAAATGTAGAGAAAATGGGGAACTTTCTAGTAAGTAGGTGGGCGTGGGAGAGGGCTCAAGGCCCTCACCTTTTGACTATGCACGAAACACCTTTTGAAATCCAGCAAGAAACACAGTACTCTCTCACCTAAGCTCATCCTCTTTCTACAACTAGTCAACACGCAAGCACGGACTGTGTCGGCTCTCTTCCACACTGTATTTGCAATTTCAAAAGTTCAGTTCATACACAGTATTGTTAATCTGATCAATTTACTATTCTCTAAGATCATGTTCATATTAATATGTAAGATTCTATAGGATTCTTGTACACTGATGTGACATCGCTATGAGAAATCTGAACCCTTTAATTGACAAAAGGCCTCACTATTTTGGGACCCACCCAATCGTATTCTATGCCCTCACGCATAGGAAACTTTGCTGTTTTTGGGTCAAGCTTTTTTCAAATAATAGAGGCGGGGCAGACGCCAAAAAGTGGCCTCTGAACACTATCTTCCCACAAGTCAACATTTTCCCATCACTGGCAAGGCCTGTGATTAAGGATTCAATGGTGTTATTATGGGCTGCATGTGCGCCTTGTGACTTTTTTTTTGCCTCTTCTCTTTTAATATGGGTGGTTGATGATTATGCATGATTGAGAGTATTGGTTCTCTTAAATGATGCAAGTGGAGGGTTCTTTCTTTTTGTTTGCTCATTAGTCTCCAAATTATTCACCCAATCTTCCACATTAAATGATACTTTATAACTCTCTCCACCTATAGATTCCAACCAAAGTAAATCGGAGTTATGAGTGTTTTCATCTTTTTGGTTTGAGAAGGTGTAAATGATTGAATGTATGAATCAACCATCATTAGAACAGGGAGATTTCATTTCACGTGGCTGATATTATTCACCTAACTTTTTAACACCCTGGTAAAAATCATACTAAGTTATTAACTCTTCTGCTATCCTAACGAACTAACAGACAAATACATGATGTCTTCAAATTCAAGTCTTGCCAAATTTTGATTTTGATCACAAAGAAAAGTATAAAGCGCGCAATGATCATTTGAAAACGTACTACTCACCTTAATGCCATACAGGACAGGGCATCAAAGGCAGGCCCGTTTAAGGGACACAACGGGATTACTTCTGCACCTTGCGAGAAAAATAATGATGGACTAAAGAAATGATTTTTTGTGTGTGAGTGCACGGATTAGACCACGAGGTTTCAAACTTTGACATTTTCAACACATATTTATTAGTATCAGTCAAATTCAAAGAAACACATGGTTCATCGTTCACTGTCAATTCTCTTGCCACCCACAATGATTCTTGTATGAAAGCCTTCTCCTTTTTTTTTTTTCCTGAAAAAAAATTGGACCATACGCTTCTGTTAGATTAAAAAATGAACAGTGATCAAGACGGTTCACCCATTTTCTAGCCAAACTTTCTGGGAAACCGGGAGAGAAAATCACCAGCTACGTACACTGACCTCACTCTCCAACCTCATTAAAGAAATCGGATTTGACAACATTTCATTCAATTATAATCAAATCCCTATCATGTCCCCCCTCACCACCCCCCTCATTTAAAGTCCCCTCCTGGGTCTTCTCTCTTCCTCTCTGTTTTCTACATTCTTTCTATTCATGACTCGTGCTCATGACAGAGATCTAAAGAGGACTGGAGAGCCCATTTCTCTGCTTTTTCTTTCACATCTGATATGGATCTTGCAGGAAGAAGATTGCTGATTTCTGGGTCACAACCTCTTTCGCCATTATCAAGCCCAGTGAGTTCAATCCTTCACTCACATTCTCATTCTGCGAGTACCAGTTTTCCCATTATAGCCATCGCTATAATAGGGATACTAGCCACAGCTTTCTTGCTCGTTAGCTACTATATCTTCGTCATCAAATGCTGCCTCAATTGGCACCGCATAGATCTCCTAAGACGGTTCTCTCCATCCCGGAGGCGAGAAGAGCCACCGATGACATATTCACCGGCGGGCACAGAGCCTCGAGGACTCGACGAGGCGGTGATCCGATTAATCCCAGTCATCCATTACAAAGCAGAGGAAAACAGAGAATCCGGAGAGCGAAGCTTCACGGAATGCTCTGTTTGCTTGAACGAGTTCCGCGAGAAGGAGAAGCTGAGGATTATACCGAATTGCAGCCATGTGTTCCACATAGATTGCATCGATGTTTGGCTTCAGAACAACGCCAATTGCCCACTTTGCAGAACAAGCATTTCTCTATCAAGCAGATTCCAAATCGATCAGATTCTAAATTCCAGACCCTCCTCGCAAGATCGACGCCCGTATGGCGAAAATCTCAGTGGTGGGGATGAAGATTTCGTTGTGATTGAACTCAGCACCAACGGTCACGGTAGAGACCAGAACTCCAATGGAAGGCAGGAAAGAGAAAACCCACCACGAGAGGTGAGTCCTTCGCCTGGGAAGATAATGGGGCAGCAGAAAAAACCATGGAAGTTTCAGAAAGTGACGAGCATGGGGGATGAATGCATCGACACTAGAGGTAAAGATGAGCAATTTTCAGTACAGCCCATAAGAAGGTCCTTCTCCATGGATTCTTCAGGGGATAGACAGTTGTACATGGCAGTTCAAGAAGCTTTGAAGAAGCAGAACAGGCAAGAAGTGAGTGAGGTATCATCGTCCTGCATTGAAGGGTGTGGTAGCAGTAGTGGTAGAGTCAAAAGATCATTCTTTTCCTTCGGACATGGTAGCAGTAGATCCAGAAGTTCAGTCCTACCTGTTTATGTGGACCACTGAAATGTTTTCTAGTTTGTGTGTGCGAGCCAGCACATCTCATTTCTCATTCTAGAACTTTTGTGAAATAGAGATTACCATTAGAATGTAATGTAATCAATAGAAGAAGAGCATAGGGTTGTAATGACAGAGATATTCAATTGCATTTATTTTTAGCTCGAAAGCCATGCCTTCTGCTCTGACATTTATTTAGTTCTTTCAGTTTGATATAGCACCTATCCGATCCTATGGCATTAAGTTCAGTGTTTAAAATCTAAATTGGTACTATCAGGTAGGCTCCTTTCATGGCTGAGCTCTCTCACTTTTCTTTATAAAAGTAAACTGGAAAAGGGCTCGAAGCCATGATTACGAGCATCATTGCAAGAATTAAAGCCACAACTTTTTTAGCCCTTTAAGGAAACCTTTTCTCCTGGACATGGGTCAATTTAGCTATTTTCCAGTATCCTAGTCTGATATTAATATCAATCAAATGGGGAGAAAGAAAGAGGGGCCGAGCGAGGAAATCTCAGCTATAAAAACTGTTAACAGCGAAGATGAAAGCAACGGAGAATCTTAGAATCTGACCTGTTACCAAAAAAGAGAATCCAATGTTTATTAATAAAGAAAGAAAGTCGAGCAAATTGGTTCTTCTCTCCTATTGTACGAACGCTGTAATAAAGCCACAAAACCTGTTTTTCTTTTAACACCATACAGTTAAAAGTTAGATGTCATGCAAGTGAAGTGAGGCGTATAGCGTTGGATTTTAACCCAGCCCCAAAATCAAGTTCTGTGCACACAAAACTGTGTTGTCATGCTGGTAGATGGAAGGAAAGTTTGGTTGTACATGTTTTATTTTTTGGTTGGCTGGCTGGTTTGTTTGGTTTTCGTGGTGCGTTACAGTGCCACAGTTTGATATCAGAGTGTACAGCTTGCAAGAACCAATACATATAATCAGAGGTTGGAATAATTTTATACCTTCAAAGATACCACAGCTAATTGTTAAGGTTGGTCCCAATTGTTATATCATCGTATTTCCAACCCAAACTCTGCCTCCACATTCTTAATTTGGAAATCCCTTTTGGGTTTTGAGACACAGTCAACTCTAAGTTGCCAATCCTGACTCCCATATCCTAAATTCCCCCCCCTTTTTTGCATTGCATGTGATGAGACGCTGGGGATTCGGCCCCAATTCCTAATCTTCTTATACATTGTTGTTTTTTTTTTTAATTAAGGGTTTTTCCTTTCAGATTAGAGCATAGTTTTTCCTTCTTTCAATAAATACATTTTTCAGAATTTAAACTTGTTTTTTTTTTAAAGTGAGTCGTTTTTTTTTTAACTCATTCTTTGCATATCGTTTTAAAATTTTTTACTCCGGAGCCCTCAAAACAGTATATATAGTTTTCTTTGATTAGGAGAGTGGATTGGTTGTTTGGGCCTTGAGAATGTGCGGTTAAGCATGGGCAAGGCTGGGGGCTGCGGGATCTGAGACACAGGGTTATGAAGGATGAGATGTTGGCTTCATCTTTGTCGACAGTTGAGAGCAACCGATCCACAATAAGAACAGAAATATTTTTATAGCCAGAAACTGTCCCCCTTTTAATAGTGGTATGCTTCTTTCTTCTTTTTTTTTTTTGCCAGATTTTAATAATGGGATACGAGCATTGTATGATTGTGATTAGTGAGGAAAGAACTGCGGCGAGTTTCAACTGCAGTTAGGGCGTGTGATTTTTTTTTTGGGAAAAAAAAAAACAGAATGACGCATAGCTGTGACCGTGGTTTTGGTTAAAATTAAGCGTTTTTTTCCCAATGAAGATCACATGGAGGATAAAATTTGACTTAAAAATAAAATTTAATAAGGCGAAAAGATCTATAAAATTTATATCACACAACTGCACAGATCTAATAATTTAACACAGCCGTTATGAAACTACTACCTCTGGTTCTAATTATAAGAGCTAGTTGACTAATTTGAAGAGATTAATGAAATAAGTTTAGTTAGTTATTTGTAATAAATAGGTGTTGTCTTTCCTAAAATAATCCTTACTAATCAAGTTTATTAGCTAGAACTACTATTATTAGAGAGACTATCTTAGGAAAGAATGTATAAATATGAGACAAAGTGGATTGGTGGTCTTATAATTAGAACCAAAATAAAAATCAAACGAGGTTTATTTTAAAGATCGGAGGTGGTAGCATTTTGCTATTTGTGTTAAGTTTTATGTTTTCGGTATTATTTTTAAGACTTAGCCGACTGCGTTAATTCCATGCTACTTTTGCTGATTACTATTTGATTGAGCATATCGTTACAGATGACTACAATAGACGAAGTCTGAAGCTACCAAAATAGGGTCTTTCTTCATGAAACACTCTTCTATTTCCCCTTTTTTTAAAAAAAAAAAAAAATTCCGGCCCCCTTTATATCGGCTTTTTTGGTAGAAACTGAAAACTTTCATTGCCATAAAAAACGATCTTTTTCTGTCAACAAAAGAAACGATTCTAGCAGTGGAAGGAAATCAACAAGGATGAAAACGTAAACTATTTTCCTAATCAAATCACAGGCATCCACGCTCCTTTCGCCAAACAATAAGCAATTGGGCCTTTCTGTGTTGCAGATTCGGAAAGCACGGTATCAACTCTCAAGAAGCAGGCTCCAGGTTCACTGGGTTTAATCATGTTTTTTTTTTTGCCCCCCTAAACATGGAAGAAACTACGTCGTTTTGTTTAAATGAACAAAAAACTCCAAATGCTGAAAAATGGAAATCGAATACCCTAGGCCCCTCCCTTCCTATTTTGTCGTTCATTTCTCCGGGCCTCACTGTCGTCTTCATCGCCGCCGTGAGCGTCGTCGGCGTTCCTCCACCACTCGCATCGTCTTCCATCGCAGTCGTCCTCGTATTCGGCGTATCTCCTTGGTCTTTGTCCGCGGTAAGTCTTCCAGCTCTTCTTCTGCTCGCATTCTCTTCTGTAATCTGTACGCCTCCTGGTGTATTTCATATTTTCCAACTATCCCCATCTCTCACTTCCGGTTGAAACTTCAGTGTAGCGCCTTTGAACTACTTATTTTAATTTATGGTTCAATAATCGTACCAAGTCAGTGTTTGGGTGAGAGGAAAATCCACTCTTATGGTTGATTTTCTGTTAGTCTAAAAGTGTTTTTAAAAAATTCGGTTATTTCAAAATCTTCCTTCAGTGTTGTTTTTAAGTGAGTTCAGTGGATATAATGCATCCAATGGCTTAAAGTCAGAGAACTTGTACAAGAGTATTACGGCTGCTATAATGTAATAAAAGCTAAATGGAGAAATGGAAAAGGCAGAGAAGTATAGAGCAAGGAAAAACTTATTAACAGATGTTTGCCCTTATCACTAAGTTGTTCAATATATGTCTGTAAAATTAAGAAGATAATGTGAGAGAGGCAGAGTGATTAAGGTGTCGTGTGTCACTTGTATTTTTAATGATTAAAAGTCTCGATAATCAATCTGTTAATGTGTGTGCATAAATGATTGCTGCTGTCATCTGACTGAATAGTTCTTTGTAACTTTGGTGTTTCTGTGAATCATTACCGTGGTTTTGAAATAATTCTCCCATGTTTCCTTTCCTTTGCTACGCATTGAATAAATTGATGATGCATGTGTATTTCTTTCATTCAGGTAGATGCGGCAGAAACCTCTCTGACCTGTGCAATTCAGTCTTCTTCATCAAACACAGAACTTCCATTTCTAAAGCATTTGTGCCACCTCAATGAGAGGAAACATTGGATTTGGAACAAGGCTTCCTAACACCAATATCTCCCATGCTAGACAAACACTGGTTCCATACTCAACTTTCTCCAATTCAGGTGCAGGTGGCCGTGGCCGTGGTCGTGGCAGTGGCAGCCCTCTCACTAGTGAACAAGCCCTGGGCAAGCCCGACTTCAATGAGTCAAAATCTGACTCACCCGAGTCACCCATTCCTCCTGGTTCTGGACCTTCTGGTCTTGGTCATGGCCGAGGCAAGCCCCTTCCTCCTCCTTCCTCAGGCCGCCCTTCATTCTCATCCTTTTTATCTTCTTTAAAACCACAATCCACAGGCCGTGGCCAAGTCACCAGTCAACCGTTATCTCAACCAACTAATGATTCAGGACCCAAAAAACCTATGTTCTTTAAAAGAGATGATAGCAGTAGTCCAACAACTGAAACTAAACCCATTTCTAGCATTGGCAATCGTGAGGCCAGTAATAAACTTCTGGGGAATATGGCGGGGGTGTTGTCAGGACTTGGGAGGGGAAAGCCAATGAAGCAGACTGATCCAGAGAACCAAGTCAAGGAAGAGAATCGGCATCTACGTGCCCCACAAACTTCGGACGCCACTGCATCTAAGACTGTGTCTAAGAGTCAAGCAGCACTAAGTCGGGAAGATGCTGTAAGGAATGCACGACAAATTTTATCACAAGTAACGGATAAAGGAGGTGCCACTGGCAGAGGAAGAGGACAATTTGCAGCTGGGCCTGGTCAAGGTAGAGGCCAGGGCCGAGGACGAGATGGGAGGGAAAGGTTCAGAGGGAGGGACAGAGGAGAAAGGGATGGTCGGGATCAGCGTATTGATACCTCTTCAGCAGGGGTTTATTTTGAAGATCCAGATGATAGTGGTGAGAAGTTAGCTGAGAAGGTTGGGCCTGAGGTGATGAATCAATTGGTTGAAGGATTTGAGGAGTTGGCTGATACAGTTTTACCCTCACCATTGTATGATGAATATTTGGATGCATTGGACATAAATTGTGCGGTAAGTGGTGATTGTAGATGCCCATGCGTATTTGTTGAGAAAATCATGGGAAGGTCTGATAGTAATTTTGATCTTTGTTATTTGGTGAGCGTGATTTGTGTGTTGTAATTAGCTGACTGAAGGTTCACTGTTCCCTTTCTGGTGGTAGAAGGTACCCAAATGAAAAAAGGTTACCTCTATTGCATGCTAAGGCCATCAGGTTTAATCAAACCAACTCCGAAGACGTCTTGGCAACAAATATATAACTGAACTTATTTAATTAATCTTATATTCTTCCTTTATTAAGTAAATTATCATTATAATGTTGACAATTCCTACTTTTCTGTTTGTTGTTTGCCAACTGCAGATAGAATTTGAACCAGAATATTTGATGGGTGAGTTTGATAGGAATCCAGATATTGATGAGAAACCGCCAATTCCACTAAGGGATGCACTTGAGAAGGTGAAGCCTTTCTTGATGGTGTATGAAGGGATTAAGAGCCAAGAAGAATGGGAGGTATTCACTTTTTTTGGTTCAACAGTGGGAAATAGATTTAATTGCTGATCTTATTCATGGTGGATGATTTGCCATCAAATTTCTTTTAAAACATCTGAGCTTGCCATATTCCTTGTTGGAGATAATATCTAGCAAGACATGTTTGTTTATCATATGTTATGTTGCTGTTCTCTACAAACTGGCTGATTGCTTCCATGTCAATATATAATATGCCTGTTTCTCAACCTTTTTACTGGTCAACTTATGTGAAGGCATGCGTTTCTTTTTTGATAGCTTCTTCTGGCTTCATGTGTTCTGTGGGAGATCCTTAGCTGAAGGATGGATGTCAATATTCTGCCGCGTCTGTTGTCTAGCCGTCTAGCTGTCTTTTAACGAATAAAGATGTTATTGTGTAGCTTGTTAATCTGTATCATCTGAGATTATGGTTACTGGTCATCTTACAGCTTTTGTCAATGGCTTCGCTTTATTGGATCTATATTACGAGCACATTCAGATAAATGACTAAAGATTTTATTGTGTACCTTGTTAATCTGTATCATCTGAGATTATGGTTACTGGTCATCTTACAGCTTGTCAATGGCTTCGCTTTATTCGTTCTATATTACAAGCACATTCAGATAAATGTTGTACTCATGCAAGGTTTAGAAGTAGTCATATGCTTTGGTGAGACATGATGTGGGTGGGGGGTGCTTATTGGAGATGTTTGTCTTTTCCCCCAATTTTTCTGACATACAATTTTCTAGGAAATAATGGAAGAGACAATGGCAAGTGTTCCATTATTGAAGAAGATTGTTGATCACTACAGTGGACCAGATAGGGTGACCGCAAAGACACAACAAGAAGAATTAGAAAGAGTAGCTAAAACTCTTCCTCAAAATGCGCCATCTTCTGTGAAGCAATTTACTGATCGTGCTGTCCTTTCTCTTCAGGTTTGGATTATTAAATGCTGAAATGCCATTTTACTAATTTCTTAGGCATGAGATGGCTTTGCTTGGGAAGTTGCTTCTCTACTAAGTTGGCCTGTTTGGATTAAATGCTAAAATGCCATTTTACTAATTTCTTAGGCATGAGATGTCTTTACTTGGGAAGTTGCTTCTTTTCTAAGTTGGCCTTTACATGTGTCTCTGCCAATATTTGCCTGTTCTTGTGGTTGAGTAGGGAAATATTCCTCCCCCCTTCTTTCTTTCATTCTTCTTCTTCTTATATTGGGGTTGGGGGATAACTCTCTCATGTTTACTGTATGCTTTTGAATTTAGATGGGCTAGAAATGTAAATCTAGTAGAGAAACATTATATGATTTGCTGAGAATTTCTATGAGATGATAGCCAGTGAATGATAGGTTATAAACACAAGCATGTTAGAATGGCAGGTTAAAATAATATATATTCACATTCAAAGTACATTTCATATTCTTGAAGGTTGGAATTGATGTAAGATGTTGATTCTGAATTAAGTAGTGGGCATTGGTAATGATAATTATGGGAAAATTAACCCTTGAGTTTGATCTATTTATATTTCTCCTGATAGGATGAGGAAATTTCAAATCTAATTATTTAATCTAATAAATCTGATCCTTCCAATGCTAACTAATTTTGTGCTATGTACTGCTTTATACTGCGATGAGTTTTTGTAAATGTATTAATAAATAAATAGTTAGTGGTTGCCATTGTCAGAATTTGGCCTGAGATTCACTGATTTAAGGGACAGTGAGCTGATCGTTGTCAGCCCATACTAGTAATAGTACATATCATTTCATTTTTAATAGAAATTCGTAATATGTTTCTAATCTCCAAATCTTAGATGCACGGGACTTTTTTTATAGGGGAGTGTTTAATGTTCTAGCATCCTGAGGTTGAGTCATGCAATCCTCCTCTCTCCTTTTCTTCCTTTTTATGCTTGGATGAACTAAGGGTGTGCAATTTGTTTCTAAAGATTTTGGATATCATATTACAAGATTAGATATGTAAAACGACCACTTTATCTTCTGCATGGAGGCTGTGTTTTGGAATTTTGTTTCGCGATGTTAATTTTTCTCTCAGTGTGGAACTTGTTAACATTATTATGGTCTTATAGTGTTCTCCATAATTTTCATTTTGTCAGTTGGAGATCGTGTCATTACTACAGTCACATCCAGCGAGATAGTAGTTTTTTTTTTTTTTTTGGGGGGGGGGGGTGTTACTGGCATCGCCCTAATATTGATTAAACTCAGTGGCAGATGACAGAAGTTTTTTGTGTGTTGGATTCTGGCTCTCCATTAACTGATCGTGTTGCTATTTCTTTAGGTTAAAACAATGGCTTCCTTTATGTTGGGATCTCTTTTAAATGGTAATTTATTCTTAAAGGATTGAATAAAATACACACATATGTGGCTAGTCTAACTGAAAACAGTCCAAGACCCACAACATTGTCTGCTGTCACCTGGAGTTATTTTTGACAAGACCAGGCGATTTATTTCTTGAGTTCATTTTCACGTGATGGACCTTTTCTTTTCTTTTTTTTTTTTTTTTGGGAAATACGCAATGCTACGAGTCTACAAATTATATGTGCTTGCAGTGGTGATATGCAATGATTTTGCGTAAACGATGCAACACCATATGGTTTGTTGAAATTGATAATTCTGCCTCTGAGATTTCTTTCCTGAATTTAAGCGTGAAAAATGCTGATTTGGAAGTACGCACACTATATTAAACTGTATACTGATGTTTGCTTGATATGGAACATCACAGAGCAACCCGGGCTGGGGATATGACAAGAAATGCCAGTTCATGGATAAGCTAGTTTGGGAGGTTTCTCAGCATTACAAATGAGCTCTTAGTTTGCTCTTTGGGTTACATACTTGTGTTTTAAGGTTTACGATATCCATTGTTGAGTGGGTAAGTCCTCTTGCAGCGGTTTTTAAATCTGAATTCATTTGTTCTTTCTTTTTTGTAGAAGATGGTGCCATAAATTTTGTAATAATTGGTCATGGGTGTAACATATACCTTGTAACATCGTGGCATTTATTGTCGGAAATATCCTACTTATACTACTGGAAAGTAATACTAATAATTATTACAGGTAGTTGTATGATCTAGCTGATTTATCTCTTTCTATGGGGCCCCTGGAATTCAAACAAAGCAGCATTTGAATTGAAAGTTTCAAAGAAATGAAATTTTGTAATTAGCATTAATGATATGTTGCCTGTTTTCTCCGGCAATCTCTTCTTCTTTCATGGAGTAGGGCAAATTTTGAGTTGTTCGTTTTTTGGGCCATTAAAAAGAACTTGTCATTCTTGTGAGAGCTTACAACCCAAGTAAAGCGAACAAAGAAAGTTAAAAAAAAAAAAAAGCGAACAAAGAAACGAAATCAAATCTAAAGAAAAAGGAAAGCGAAACAGAGTTCTCTTGTCCATCTCAGCACTGATCGTCAGGGAAAAAAACAAGGGGTGAGACGCAGACATCTAATCTACTGAGCCCATCCTTAGAAGAGCTGTGGGTAAAAAAAAAAAAACAATTCAGTAAAATTTTCTTCTGGAAAACGCTGGAAACTTAAAAAACTTAATGGCTTTGATAAGACGAACGCTGTCCATTAGATCTAAGTGATCTCTTAACGGATAGATAGAAGTATTGTTAGTGGTTCGCAACAGTGAAAATCAGTTAGATTTACTGATTTCTGGAGCCTCCATCGACACCGTACCTCGTGTACTCACCCACACCTTCTCACTGGGCGGGCGCCGGCGGGAGACGTCGAAAGGAACACGCTGCGCTGGAACTCACAAAGAACTCTCACAAAAAAAATTGAATAAATTTGTATTATGTGACCTGTCGAGTTGCCCTTTTTGGAGATTAAGTATTGGTGCCCCGTCATGTGATGTGATTGGTTGACGCTTTTCTCCTCGATCTTTGAAGCTAATAGATCTCGTCGTTTCTGCCCTGAAGATTCTTTTTTTTTTTTTTTTTTTTTTTTGTCACAACGTAAGATGCTGCAGGTTTGAATCTAATTTATTCATGGTTAAAAAAAAAATGTAATTTGTCGCTTACCCACAATACCTGAACACTTTTTTCTTAATACTAGAGTGTGAATTTACATTACGATGGAAAACCATGAACAGGATACGAAAACTAATTTTCTTTTTGCACAAAATTATGAAAAAAAAGCAAGTTAATTTGAATAAACGTGGACGAAGGGGGGGGAAAATCTTCAGCTGATTTAACTGTCAAAGGTTTTCCTTGTCGAAGATTACGTTAAGAATGAAAACAAATGCTAAATACAATATGATTAGGATATATATATATATATATATATATAAATGAAGCAACAAATACTTATGACCCTTGCTAGGTTTTTTTTTTTTCCGGTAACAATCTAAAATTTTTTTTAGAACTAGACTTCTTTTTAACATTTAAAATTTATTGAAACATATTAAAGAAATAGTGAATGAACAGAAAAATAGTTATATAGAACATTAGAACTCCATAAAATGTGTGACGAAAGTTAGATGCACAACAATAAAAAGCTGCGCGAGCCTAGAGGAGTCTTATGTCAGCTGCCATTGATATGATTCCATGTAGATTTTATGTTCCTATTAATACTAAAGGCTTAAGATTTTAACTTACAATGTTATGTCATATATACTAATTATATGACTCGTAAGACTCAATTTATATTTACCAGCAAACTTCCAAGTCCTGAAATCAACAAATTAAACAAAAAACATGTTTTGAAGATATTTATAAGTGTTAATGATTTGTTGCAATGTTATATTGAAAAGAGAATATGTATGTTCATTATAATCTTAACCCATTGCTGTCCCAAAAAAAAAAAAAAATCTTAACCCATGCTCTCTTTGTTTTCTATCCTTTCATATAAGATTCATTCACTTTTTTTTTTTGAGCAAAAGATTCATTCACTTATTAAATATGATTTTTTTTGGCCTGAACTTATTAAATATGATTCATTCATCAACAAATGAACAACCTAAATTTAGTTTTTTTTTTCTTCACCACACTTTGTAATTATAAATTTTTTAGATTAAATTTTAATTATACAAATTAATTTATACTTTTACATTTTGTCAAACTGAACCACTAAAGTTAATCAAATGATTGATCATTAATTAAGAAGCCGTTCGCAATCAATTAATCAAAAGTGGAACGAAAGTAGTGGGTAATCCATATTGGTTCATTCTCAAGCAAAGGGCTTATGGCTATGTGATGGGAAAAACCTCAAACGAGTAATACTAAATTTGACAATATGGAATAAGAACACATCGATTGTAAATAATAATTTTAGATCCAAATTGTCATTAAATCCGTTAATTTAACTATCATTCCCATTTTTTTAAATCATATTTTTGTTGAAATTTATATGCCGGTTTCCTTATTGGTGAACTTATACACCTATTTCAATTGGTGCATTCCTTTTTATTAAGAAGAAAAAGGCAAAACAATGAGCGCGACAGAGGTAGTAATTAATTAATTAATTACCGATGGTTTAATGCAGCGCGCAGTGTTTTATATAAAAGAAATTTGCTTTTTGCGTTTGTCTAATGTCTTATCATTGCAGAGAAGTGATTCACCAAACAACGGCGCGATTTTTGAGAACTCGAACCGCGAATGGATTCGCTGGAAGGTGGTAGCTGCTGGGATTTCCTCGATTACAGCTTGATCGACGATACACCGCCGGCGCCCACCGATTTTCTTTGGTCCAATCAGAGGTTCTTAAATTTTATTTTCTGATTTAATCTTGGTTTCTTTTCTTGGTTTTTAGATTTCTTCAATTTTATTCTCTTTGGATTCATAAAGCCCTCTACCTGAAATTCTATTCCATCTAAATCTCTCGCAAGTTGTGCGTGATGAGGATTCAATAAGAGGCCTGAATTTCACTAGGCTTTGTCTTCTTACTCGTTGAAGCATCCAGCGGAATCCTTTTCCCCCTTTATTCCCCCTTTTATTTTATCAATTAATCACTACCTCATTACTTGTGGAAGGCCAAATTGATTCTGTGTTTTTCTAAGTGTCCTTCTTGCTCCAGTTTGAGGATGGCATGAATGCTTGACACAACTCTCTCTATTTCCATTTGTCAGCGTGAGCTCGGGAATTGACTTTTCAGGCGGGGCTATTGTTCCTCAAGAGAGCACCCGGAAGAGGTATCTTGTCTGTTACAACTTGTGGCAAAAGTTTACTCTTTCGACTTTGTCGTTACTTGGATTTCGTTAAAACTTCATTTTTATGTAAAGAAGATTCAATCAATTTTGGAGGAAGTGGAAAGCCTAGTTTTGTTTGGGTAATCAATTTATTTCTTTCATTGCAAACCTTTCTTGTAAACTTTCGAGTTTTGTCTCTGGCTATAGTTAGCGGAATGTATTAAGCATTTCTATGAATGTTTACATGCTGATAATACTTCAGAGCACAACTGTGGTATTAATTGCGTAGTTGTCTACAGGATATGCATTGCTGAGTCTGCTGCTAAGATTTAATTTTAATTGTGACGATACTTTCTTGAATGCGAGGTAGAACTATTATTCTGGAAAAGGGTTTCAAACTTCAAAACATGATTTTGGTTCGGTATCATCTGTCTTCTAATGTCTCTAATTTATTTGTCAAGGGGAAAAGTCTAAAATTTGAACCATAAATGATTGCCATCCTCGATTTTGCAATATCTGACCTTATTGGATTGCATTTTTCATAACAGATGGAATGGTTAATCGCCCTTTTCTTCTTTTTAAATTAAGGAGTATTGAAGCTATATTTTGAAATGTTTTCTTACTTGGTTTTTGTGATTAATTTCTGGACGATGGTTCGTAGAATACGCCCCAATTTGTCAAGCAATCCAGGAACAAAAGCTTGTCGTGAGAAAATGCGGAGGGAGAAACTGAATGACAGGCATGCATCCTTTCAAGTGTTGAATTAAAGATTTCTCATGAGCTATTTTTTAGCTTTTATTGTGATATACGTTGCTTTGCAACTTCTACATAACATATGCATAGCACAAGAACTAGATGAGGCATCTGTGATTCCATGTTAATGCCTTTTGTTTTGCTTTGCAGATTTTATGACTTGAGCTCTGTTTTGGAGCCTGGGAGACCTGTGAGGACTGATAAATCGGCTATACTTGATGACGCCATCAGAATCTTGAATCAGCTTAAAAATGAAGCTCAGGAACTCAAAGAAACAAATGAGAAGTTGTTAGAGGAAATAAAATTGTTGAAGGTTGGCGACATGTGAAGCAGTAATAGTAATTTTTATTGAGCTTAAGCTTCCCCACTTTTTTAAAGAAAAAAAATCTTATCTTTATGTATTAAATATCGTTGAATTTACATTTTGCTCAACTTTTTCCACCTTAAATTCTTAATGAATGGACTTCCAGAAATCCCCCCCCGCCCCCAAAAAAAATTATGACGCTGGCTGAAGCTTCATCTTTGAAATAATGTTTAATGATTCTTTCTGATGGGTAAGACTCGGAGGAATCTGAGCTGTTTGTTAAAAAATGGTCCAGTCGTTTGTGTTTGGTGCTGTATTGCTCAATATTTTGTAGCTTTCAAAGTCTAGATTCCATATTGATAACTCTTGTCTTCCCTGACAGGCAGAGAAACATGAACTTCGTGAAGAGAAACTTGTCCTGAAAGCAGATAAAGAAAGGATTGAGGCACAGTTAAAAGCACTGCCAGTTTCACCCGCAGGATTTATGCCTCCCCATGCCGCTGCTTATCAAGCTGGGGTCAACAAAATGGCTCTTTTCCCAGGCTATGGTTACTACCCCATGTGGCAATATCTGCCTGTGTCCGCTCGTGACACATCGCAGGATCATGAACTCAGGCCTCCAGCTGCTTAGTGATTGGTGACTCTTAGTGTGCCCATTCAACAATGTGATGAACGGGGAGGGGTAGTTACATGTAAATAGTTTGAGAAGTAGTTTTTTGGCCTATTCACTTCAGCTAAATGTTGCGCTGAAGCAGGCTAAAATATTGTTTGAAGGAAGTAACATGAATTGCTACAGACATGCATTCCAAATTACAATATATTGATTACATATTCTTCATGGTTCCTAGTAATTTTTATTTCAGATAATTTTATTTGAGTTACAAATGGAATCTTTGAAGAACATAGGATTCTGTTCATTTCAACAACAACAAGTTTTACCTTATTAAGTGGAGTTGGTTACATGGATAGTGTGATGTCATTGTGTTCTATTAATAACCAAATTCTTAAGTAAGTTGTTAGCCAAAGGATCCCACACAATGACTTTGTTGAGTGTTCTTTTCAATTTTCCTTTTTTTTTTTTTTTTTAGGATTCCAAACTGTCTTATCTATATTTCTCACTGGCGCGTTCAATAGTCTTTTTTGCACATACTTATGCCATCTCATAAAGTTAGATTTTTTTTTTATGAAAAAATATTATTTAAAAAATGAGAATAAATTTTAGACATTATAACATCTGATATTTTCTTTTTTCGCTAGAGTTTATTCTTATAATTAATTATTCTTTATTTTTTTATGTTGACGCGTGATAATGTTTGCACGTCCATGCTTAATTTGTGAGAGGGAGAATACTGATAAATGCACTGCAAGCCATGATCATAGTTGTAGCATTTATGATGTTGAATCAGTTTCACATGAGTAAATTTGAGAGTGCTGAGTCAGTTAAGAGAGATATATACATGCTTGGACCTTTTACATTTAGAAAGCTAAATGTATGATCAAAGATCAGACAGAAAAAGAGTGAAGAGATTCAAGTTCAGATTTTCCTCCTCTTTTCAGTTTGAAAGCCGAAAAAAGAAAAAGAAAAAAGAAAAAAAAAAAAGAAACCATTTCAGGTAAGATCGAACTTATACACACACACATCAAACTTTCCTCGGAATGCCTAGTTTAATTTTCAGGTTCTAGCTCTTCAAAGATCTAAAGGCAATTCATCACTTCCGGTCGTGTCCTGTTTTTGGGATCATCAGAATTGCACTTGAATTACTCTTTTGTACTGTTGATGTCACCCACTTGCCCTTCTTCTTTACCCCAAATCAGCAAATACAGACCAATCACCGCTAAGATTGCCCCTATGATACTGAATTAACCATATGTCACACTCATTAAACTCCACAAAAATAGAAACCCAATACTTCACGCTGATTTGTTATGTTCGACAATCAGGGTAAAAACGTACTACTGATTGGAATTCACCCCAAAAAAAAAAAAACTGCTGATTGGGCTTCTCCAACAAGGCACATCCACGTAGGCAATGACAATTGTGCAGCGTATCTCTTTACGCTATATGCCTCTATATACTTTGTCTCAGGCTCTCAGAGTGGGGGAAATTGTGGATAGTATTGGTGGTATAAAAACTAGAAGAAAGCACAAGTATTTAAAGGTTCTGAAAGTTTTTTGACTGAACTGATTAGTGATGGGAAAATGAAAACCCAACCCGCACAATGTACCAGGTGGCCCATGCTACACAGCTTGCAATTGCAAGGAGTGACCCCTTTACCCATTGTCCATGGATATGATCATTTTTGTGAATATATATTAGACAAGGCGATGCATTTCTTATAGGCCCTCTATATAATGTTATGATGATCACCCCACCTGAAGAGACTAAAGTCCCGGCCACTATTGCTATACTGCGGGGACTGCGCAGATTAATAACCTCGATCCTGCAATTGATCCAAACAAGTGACGAACGAAAATGCATACAATTGCATCTCTATTATATGTGAATCAAGAAGCTTGAGAATTACCGAAGTATCACTGCAACAATGAAGGTAATGGAAGCTAGGGTGTTGAATAATATAGTCGCAAAGGTTGGATTGGTGTGTTTTAGGCTGACAAAGTACATGTTTAGACTCAAACTCACCCTGAAATTCTTGAAAGGAAATACACTATGTCATTAAGTTTATATATTATTTCCATTGAATGTAGAAATATAAGAATAATTAATATGCTTGCCTTTAAAGTCTTACTCCAACACAGAAAGCACAAAATTTCCCAAGAAGAGAGCCAGTGTCAACTTCGGCCTCATTTTTCTGCAAGAGATAGGACAAAGTTAACTGTAAGATACATTGAGAAACCTTGGATATGGAGGTTAAAAGCTGCTGAAAGGAGATTAAGGGAACAGAACATGTCAAAGTATCATGGAAGATCAATAAACGCCATGAATAGATCCATGTGTTTCTGCCTCTCAAGAAAGTATGCAAAAGGCAACAGTGCAAGCCTGGAAGGCCAGCTACAACATTCCGATAGGTTGCATAGACGTAAGGATTCAAGCCATGCTCGAAGGAAGCCTCTGTGATGAAATACAATATGGAACAGCCTACTGAACCAAGATCATCAACAGGTATGGCTTGAACTCGCAGCACAAACCCCCAAGACCACGCCTTTTTTGCTCCATTATTAACCTCAGCGATCAAGACTCCTCTCTCTCCCACTCAAACTCACGCTATCACCTTACCACAAGCTCTCAAGAAGTATAAAATTCCTATGAAATGCACTCAAGGTAGGTTGCGTGTTAAAGTACATTACTGCTGCAGGTGGAAAGATATTACGTCTAACAGTAATAACTATAAACATTTTTCCTGAGCGATTCCTCTATATTTTCTTGAATAATTTATGTTTGTGGTGAAGCTTGAGTTTCATCATGAGAACCAATAATACTCGAAATGATATAATAATCTTTTGCAACTAATTATAAATCAAACCCCATAAATGGCTGACGATTCTTGATTAGGTTTGGAAAACTTGGCTGTCCCACATGCATGCTGGCCTTGGCTCATTGGTTCTTTGTATTTCTTTTTTTGCTAATTACTTGTGCGCTATGACTAAGGCCATAAATTCATGTAATTTGGATGCCATAATTAAGGAGAATTAATTGGTGGCAAAGAAAAGGATATATATCATAGGAAGAATTTAAATGCACGTAAAAAAATTTCCCATATATAAACCAATATATAGTGTTCACTCGTCCCAGTGGAATTAAAGTCTTTAATAACTTTTGTTACGTGTGAAAGCTAGTGTTCGAATAAAGTAAATATAAAGCAGCATTGGCCCTCGGGGGACTTCTAAGAGCATTATTTGCGGTTGCGTATCAAAAACTCAAGGAAAATTATTGCTCACAAATTTAGTGGTAATGTTTGGTATGCATGTTGATGTTTTGTGGTAGTTATTATTTTTTTTGAAAAAAAAAATAGGATAAACGTGTATAATTTAAATTTCACAAATCTAATCCTTTCTTCTTCTTCTTTTGTACAAGTGGTGAAGTGGAAAACTAGGAAAACATTAAGACAAGGGGACTGTAATCCCACAGCCTCTTTCTGAATCAGGTTGTTCTTCTTTAATTTCATGTTCAGTTTAAAAGTTCTCTTTCAAAGATTACGGCGAAAATCTATTGAGTACAGAGACGAATTTCAAGGGGTAGACCATGGCCCAGTGTCTTTTCCCAAATTATTAAAAAAAAAAAATGTTTCCCATGGAAAGGATGTTTCCTCCATAAATGAACTATTTACAGGATAACATAAGCAAAGAAAACCAAATCAGAACACTGCAAGATAACATGATTGAAGTGGTGTAGCGTCTTATGCTGAAGCCTGAAAGTAAAGAGAAACGAAAAGAAACAATCATATAAAAAACTAAAGCAATTCTTCATTATATTAACATTGAATGAGGATAAAAGAGAAAAATTGTAATAAATAATAAGCATGGAGTCTTATAAAGACCACAGCATTCCTTCTCTAAGTACGTTAGACAGAGGATCTTTAATTAATATATCCGGGAGTTGGTGCAGAATCTTGAGTAATGGATTATGGCACTATATCCATAATGGAAGATCTACAAATCAGGGCACTAGATCACTAATCATATTTCCTGAAAAATAAAAATGTGTTTCTTCGTAATTATGAACAATGAATGTAAATGGTTTCCTTCTATAATAACACAGGAAGTCCCACGGTGATCTCCTTTGAGCAATTAATTTGATGTGACCAGGTATCATCACTATTACATATCAGAACATATATGTACTCTTTTATTTTCATTAAACCAGACCATTTGTCTTATAAGCTACTCATCCAATCCTAAATATAAAACTCTTATATTAGTGTATATAAGGGCTTTATATTTAAAGTCGGAAGAGTACTTTTGGTTTTCATGAAATTAGAGCTGGCTTTGATTTAAGAAGCCCCTTCTCCTCCCTTTTCTGAGCCTGTCAAGTCTTGAAGTGTCAGTATTTCAATCAGAAATACTGCACTGCATGGTCGCCCATCGATTCTTAGTGCTCTGAGAATTAGTTTTCCAAAGACAAGCAAATGCATATCATCTGCTAAATTGACAAATGACTTGTGCGCTATGAATCCTCAACCGTTAAAACTTTATTTATCTGCTTCACAAATCGGCAATATATATATATATCCTCTCCTGTACCACAGTACATGCAGATGTATTGATGAGTACCTTGCCTGAACAATAAGGCATATAGTGTTCATTGTAATGCACGATAGTGGTGGGGCAGTGAAAGAAATAAGTATGTTTAGGACCCATGCACACACAAGCACGGGGACAACTTTGCTGCTAGCTTTAAGAAACACTGTTTGAACGATGTGATTCTGAGAGAAAACGTGGCGCCTCATGCATCGAATGGAAAAAATTTGCCTAATTAAAGAACTAATAATTTTACAATCCCATTCACTTTAATGATATGGATACTATGGGCCCCACATTAAAGAAGCATGGATTCGCGGGGATGTCATTGATGCGAATGGGGTCATACCAGCAACCCCCACTATGTGTCATTATTCCTTTTTGACCAGACGACGTGTCATTATTGGCTACCATACATATTGCGGTTTCTATGTAATGAAGAAAAATAACAAATTAATTAATTACTGGGGCCTCGTGCCGCCACTGCCGCGACGCAATAAGCTCATCATGTAAGATGATAAATTGCCCAAAAAAATGCGACTTTTTTAAATTAAAAAAACAATCAAATCAATTACTTAGTGGGTCCAAAATATATGAAATTAATTAAGAGTTCTCATTTTGTGGGGAATCTTCTAGGCTTGCTTTGCGCTGTCCTTTTTCGTTATGATAGCCCCGTTTGATAAAGACACTGGCTTCCATCCAAACAAACAGTACGCGCTCTCAGCCCGTTCATTTTCAATGATTCATTCTTGTGAATTTGATCAAATGAAGTTCTATTAGCATTAAAAAAAAAAAACAGGCATTTCAGGCAAGACCAAGATGATCCATATATCTAAACATCGAGCTTTGATTTCCTCGGAATGCTTTTTCAGGTTATCTGACACTTAAAGATCTAAAGGCAAATCATCAGTTAGAGTTGCATTCTGCTTTTGGGGATCATCAGAAGTGCACTTCCATCGCTCTTTTGTGCTGTTGATATCCCCCTCTTGATCTTCTTTGCCCCAAATCAGCAAATACAGACCAATCACCACTACCATTGCCCCTACGAGGCTGAATTAACCATATATGTCGCACTCATTAGTTAAATGAGAGAGACGATACTCTGCAATAATAATCTTGAAATGTGCATGCTTTTGTCTGCTTAATGTACAAGATTTGGATGGCAGAAAATCTGTCATCATCCATGCATGCACATGTTTGTGTGTCTTTTCTTCGTCTAAATGAAAAGACTTGGTAAATCCATAGCTAATTAAAACCTTCGGTGGTTTTGCTGCTTCTAATTATATGGCAGACACAGAAGTATTCATCATGCTCATAGTGAATTACGTAATTATTCTAGACATGTTGATTGTTTAAAAATGAGGAAATTAAAAACAAGAACGATGAAAGAAAGGGTTATAATCTGCTACATACCAACCCAGATGAAGTCTTTCGCCGACGACGAAGTACGAAAGAAGAACCACTAAAACTGCAAGAAGAGGGTTGAACATAGTGACAAAAACTGGGCCTTTTTCTTCTGTGCACCACAGTTGAATGAAAACTAACAAACCCGAGGCCACAACTCCCTGCCATATTAGTGAAAAAATGATAAATAATGTTATTAACCATCAAACACTAGAACTTCCGATCTTTATATCTGTATACTTACGCCATATATTATGGACCACAGGTCAATATTGAACCCTATAGTCCATGCCGATTTGTCATGTTCTACTATCACTGTGAAGACTGCTGATTGGGCTCCTCCAACAAGGCACATCCACGTGGTCAATGACCATTGAGCAGGGTATCTTTTCAAGGTATATGCCTGTATATACTTTATCTCAGTAAGGGGAAAACATTTAGATAGGTTTGGTAGTATAAAACCAGAAGAGAAGCGCAGGTGTTCAAGAGTTCTGCAAGTTTAAAGTTGAATTGAGTAGTGATGAGAAAAACGAAAATCTAACCTGCATAATGTACCAGATGGCCCATGCTATACAGCTCGCAATTGTAAGGAGTGATCCTTTCAACCATTCCTCATGGATATGATCATCTTTATGAATATGAATCAGAGGAGGCCATACATTTTTCATTATAGGCCCTCTGTATAACGTCACGATCATTACCCCACCTAAAGAAATCAAAGTCCCAACTATTTTTGCTATACTGCGGGGATTGCGCAGGTTGATTACCTCAACCCTGCAGTTAATTCATGTAAGAGCTATAAGAATGAAAATGTAATTGCATATCTACGATATACTAAAAATTCCAAATTTATGCGAGTCAAGAGGCTCTGGAATTACCTGAGTATCACCGCAATGACGAAGGTAATGGAAGCTATGGTGTTATATATTGCAGTCACAAAAGTTGGATTGGTGTATTTTAAGCTAGTGAAATACATGTTTAAACTCAGACTTAACCTGAAATTTTTGAACGAAAAGGCAATTTCATCGGGTTTCTATATATATATATATATATATATATATTGTCCACTGGACAAAGAAATATATGAATAATATGTCTATCTTCTTACCCCAACAAAGAAAGCACAAAAATTTCCAAGAAAAGAGCCAATGTCAGCTTGGGCCTTATTTTTCTGCAACAGAAATAAAAAGTTAACTGCAAGAGACAGATGCATGTAAGACAGCAGCGCACGTATGGAGGTCACAAGCATCTGAAAGGAGATTAATACAAAAGTAGTCGAAATCCATCAATCACTGAGCATTAATCAGAAGACGCGTACCTTTCAAGAAAGTATGCAAAGGGCAAGAGTAGAAGGCCAGCCAATATATTCCGATAAGTGACGTACACGTAAGGATTTAGGCCATGATTGAAGGAAGCCTCTGCGATGAAATACAAGATGGAATAAGCCAATTGAACCAAGATCATCAATAGGTGGGGCTTGAACTTGGAGCACACACCCACAAGATCACATCTTTTTCTCTCCATTATCAGTATCTGAGTTCAATATCAGACTTCCTTGCTCTCACACGCAAACGCACACTACCCACCTTATCACAGTCTCTCAAGAAGCATAAACTGCACATATATATAGTAGTTTATGCATATCCTGTTCATTTTAGGAGAGCCAATGCTCGGAATATTATAATAATATAATCTTTTGCACGTAATCATAAACGACATAGAGGCCAGACGATACTTGGTGATATTTGAAGATCTTGGCTACCCCATATATGCTTGTTAGCCTTGGCCTATCGATTCTTCTAGTGCTCTTGGAATCGCACCATTAATTAAGCCATAGGTTCTTCGTGTTTCCTCATCTTTTGCTGATGATTCACGTTGTGCGCTATGACTAAGATAATTTATTCATGCAGGGATGGACCTACTTGGTCTAGAATTAGACCCCACAAAATCGTTTTTCTTTTAATATTATGTGTGTGATGTATATTTATTGCCCTAAGATTCAATATACTGTCAATGCTCCAATAACGTGTATGTGTATATATTGTGTCCACAACCTAAAATTCCTGGCTTCGTCCTGTAGTAACCTTTTATAGGTATTTAGATGCCGCATAAGGATAATCGATGGCCATAAAAGAAAAGATATCAAGAGAAGAATTTAAGTGCACGTAAAAAATTTCCCTATATATAAACCAAGCTATATAAAAGTTTGTCCCCCGATTTTTGCCCAAGGGTAAAAAAATTAAGTTTCTTTTTAGCGACCTTAATTTTAAATGTTGAAATGTTATTCAAATAAAGTAAATGTAAAGTAGTGTTGGCCCTTAGTGGAATTCTGATTTGAAAGTGTTAGTTGTGGTTGCGTATCAAAACGCCATGTAAGAATATTATTATTCAGCGATTATTTAACTAGTATCGTTTGGCGTATTGATGCTTGGGAGAATTGTAATAAAGTACCAAGAAAAGAAAATAATTATCAATAGGTCCTAATGACAAGTGAACAATTATCATTTACTTAGCACGTCTGTATTATTTAGTATGCGATTTACCTTCCAATAGCTTATCCAAATAAAACAAATTCAAATCACTTAGTTGGGGAGTTGGTAATGGGTCCAAAATATGAAAGAAATTAAAGGTTTCATTTTGTGGGGAACCTTCGATCTTTATTTTGTGCTGTCCTTATTCGTCGTCGTAATAAATCCATTTGGTGGCCCCTGTATGCGGGTCAAACAAAGCACAAACGCTCATATATTTCATCCACAAACAGACTTACACGCTTTATTGGCAACCCTTTCCTTTCTAATCATTCTTAGCGTAATGTGACCAACATGCAATTCCATGAAAAGAAAAGAAAAGAAAACCATACATTTCAGGAAAGATCAAGATGATCCATATATCTAAACATCAAACTTCCCTTGGAGTGCTTAGCTTTTTGGTCTTCTGACTCTCTTAAAAAGATCCAAGTTGTCCTGCTTTCGGGGATCATCAGAATTGCACATCAATCGCTTTTTTGAACTGCTAATGTCACCCTCTTGCCCTTCTTCTTTACCCCAAATCAGCAAGTACAGACCAATCACCACTACGATTGCCCCCACGATGCTGAATAACCATATATCACATTCATTAAACTTCACAGAACCAGGAAACATGATCTAACGAAAAATTAATATATATGTATATGAACGACCCTGGTTAAGTTTCCCTTCTTATTTGATAAAACATGTCTACAAAATCTTCGGAACTGTAAATTGAGAGACAATTCTACCACAGTTTTAAAGAGTGGGTTAAAAATTTGACCCTTCTTCTCCTATCCTTGTGCCATACTCTGGAATGAGTTGAAGATTTTTAAATGTGCATGCTTTTATCTGCTTAAATGACAAGATTTGGATGGAAGAAAATCTGTGATCATCCTTGCATATGTTTGTGTGTCTTTTCTTCGTCGCCTAATTGAAAAGACTTACAGGATGAATCCATAGCTAATTAAATCCTCCGGTGGTTTTGCTGCTTTTAATTAGAGCAAATACAGAAATATTCATGCTCATGGCAAATTGCGCAATTACTCTACTCCTGTTAATACTTAGCGGGAAAAAAAGGGGGAAGGATGAAGCAAAGGTTTTTTCGAATGTATACCAGCCCAGGTGAAGTTTATCGCCGACGACGGAATATGAAAGAACAGCCACTAAAACTGTAAGAAGAGGGTTGAACATAGTGACAAAAACTGGGCCTTCTTCTTTTGTGCACCACAGTTGAACGAAAATAAACAAACCCGAGGCCACAACTCCCTACCATATAAGTAAAATAGGAAATAATATTAACTACCAGACCCTAGAACTTTAAATTTTGTACTCTCATATATTAATATATATTGCTTACTCTCTTTATCTGCAGACTTGCACTACATGTTACGGACAACAAGTCTATATTGAAACCTACAGTCCACGCCGACTTGTTATGTTCCATTATCATTTTGAAAACTGCTGACTGTGCTCCTCCAACAAGGCACATCCACGTAGTCAACGACAATTCTGCATGGTATCCTTTCAAGCTATACGCCTATACATACATTATCTCAATAAGGTTAAAAATTGTAGACAGGTTTGGCGATATAAAACCAGAGGAAAGAACATATAATAATTCTGAGGGCCTAACCTGCATAATGTACCAGAGGGCCCAAGATATACAGCTTGCAATTGCAAGGAGCGATCCCTTGCACCGCTCGTCATGGATATGATCATTTTTACGAATATGAATCAGAGGAGGCCAAACATTTCTTATTATTGGTCCTCGATATAGTGTCACGATCACTACCCCACCCAAAGAAACCGAAGTCCAAACTATTTTTGCTATGCTACGAAGACTGCGCAGATTACTGACCTCGACCCTGTAATTAATGCAGACAAGTTAAGAATCAAAATCTACGTAATTGAGAATTAATTACCTGAGTATCACCGCAATAATGAAAGTAATGGAAGCTAGAGTGTTATATAATACAGTCGCAAAGGTTGGATTCGTGTATTTTAGGCTAGCAAAGTACATGTTCAGACTCAAACTCATCCTGAAATTCTTGAAAGATAAGACAAGTTCATTAAGCTTATATTTTTGTATATTGTTTCCATTGAAATTAATTAAATTAGAAAAATTATAATAATATGTTTGTATTTATCAAGGCTAAATCTTACTCCAAAAAAGAAAGCACACAAATTTCCAAGAAAAGAGCCGATGTCAACTTTGGCCTTATTTTCCCGCAACAGAAAGAAAGAGTTAGCTGCGAGAGATACACAGAGAGCTGCATATGGAGGTCACAAGCATCTGATGAGAGGAGAATAAAGAAAGAAAACAAATAAAAAATGAAGATAAATCACTGTGCATTAGCATATGTGCACCTCTCGAGGAAGTATGCAAAAGGTGACAGCACAAGGCCAGCCAAAATATTCCTATAGGTCACATAGACATAAGGATTGGAGCCATGAATGAAGGAAGCCTCTGTGATGAAATACAAGATGGAATAGACCAACTGAAGTAAGATCATCAATAGGTGTGGCTTGAACTTGCCGCACAAATCCCCAAGACCACATCCTTTTCGTTCCATTATTATTCTCAGCAATCAAGGCTCCTCTCTCTCACAAGCTCTCATGAAGCATAAAATGCGAGCACACACACATATATAGAGCAGCTTATATGTTTAGAGAGGGACACTGACACTTAGGTTTCGAGAGAATAAATTAATAACAGCTAGGATCCTCACTTTTTTTTTTTTAATGAAAAATGAGTTGCAAATATCAATTTAAACAACTGTAAATTGAGTGAGTTTCATTTGCAAATAAGACATTTAAGTTTTGCAGCTCATTTTTCAAAATAATTTGTCGGGGACCTAAATTTCATTTTCGCCAACACACTGTGGTGCAAAATTTCATATGAGGCGCACTTAAAATAGGGTGCGTGTTATTTCAAATAATCACAGATGGCTGAAATATTAAGGATAACAGCAACAACTATGAACAACTGTTTTTTTTTTTTACCTCAGCGATTCCTGTATAATTTCTTGAATAATTTATGTTTGTGGTGAATCTTGAGTTACCTCATGAGCACAAATACCCGGAATGATATAATAATCTTTTGCATCTGATCGTAAATGACACACACACACACACACACATAATGGCTAACGATTCTTGATGAGATTTGAGAAACTTGGCTGTCCCACATCCACGCTGGCCTTGGCTTATTGATCCTGTTCGTGCTTTGGGAGTAGCACCATTAAGCTAGCTATTGGTTCTTTGTATTTCTTCTTTTGCTGATTATATTACTCATGCGCTATGACTAAGATCATTAATTCATGTAATAACCATTTAATAGATACTTAGATGCCATAATTAAGGATAATTAGTGGGCAAAAATAACAGATATCTGGAGAAGAATTTAAATGCAACACGTAAAAAATTCCCCTGCATATCAATCAATATAAAAGTTTGTCATTCGAATTTTTTTTTTCCTCACACAGTGGGAAAACAATTAAAGCTCCCTTTAAAAGGTGTGTGTGAGTGGAGACAAAATCTGAAAAACAAGATAATTAAATGCGTGCACAGCACATTCCTGAAACATAACATAGCTTCTATGTTCGTGGTGATTGCTTTAGAAGAATTGGTTCCCCATCAAGTTCTTGCTCTTACCCATAGAGGTCCCATATAGGTATCCACACATCTTCCACTATATCCTTTATAATATACAGTGCCAAAGTTTAATAACATATGTGGTTGATATGAATGATGCTGGAAGGAGAGACCACTACACAATTTGTCATTATTCGCCATTATTTTTTTCTTTCCAGGGCAATGAAAAGAAATACGGTAGTTCTTTAAGTCACTGAGTGGCTTCAAGTGATCAGGAAATGTGCAGGAAAGAAAAAAGGAGTGAACGTAATGTCTTTTCGGTTCTCTTATTAAGTTATTGCTAATGGAAAGTTGGAATAATAATATATGTGTCCCAAGCCATTAAACCACATATATTCTACTTTGTGGAGTACTTCCTCATTGGTAAGTCTGGAGGTGCAGTTCAATCAATAGTCTAAATATTATAAAGTAGTCTAAAGTCTTGTCTGGATTTTTCCTTTTCAATATGAATATTTTCCTTTGAACAGAGGCCTTATTTATATAAACTAAAAATACAAAATAAAATCATCTAACCATCTTTCTGTTTGGTCTTATATCCATTATCAAAGCTTCTCCAACCGAAGAGCTACAAATTCATGCATATCAGACCCACAAACAAAGGCTCTTGGGTTCATGCAAGGCTCCCACCTGGCAATGCCTACGCTTCTATTTATCACCTTGCTGGTTGAGATTATTCTTTGATGTTGTTTATAAAACACTTTCAACACCTTTTATCGAATAAAAATCTTATATCAATCTTAAAATTTAATAAGTAACAGTCAACTGATAGTGTAGTTCTGTGATTTCATCTTCAAAAACAAAGATACACGTTTAATTCTCAACCCTTTTATTTCTAATCATTTCTTGGTGTAAATACAATTCTGTTAGGGTAAGAAACCGCGTTTTAAGCAAGATCATGCTAGTCTATACATCTAATTCAAGATTGAACTTTCCTCGTAAATGCTTATACATAGTTTTATGGTTTTCTGACTCTTAAGGTTAAAAGGTACTCCTCCGGTCTTTAATATAAGACCCATTTGACTAATTTGATTAGATTAAGGAAGTTAGGTAAATTAGTTAGTTATAAGAAATATGACACGTTTTTCCTAAAATACCATAACCATCTTTCTTAATACCCCTCTTCCTCTTCTATTTGATTATGGTTGATAGAGTATCTATAGGGGTAATTGAGAGAAAATTGATAAATATAAGAAATGGATCTTATATTTAGGACCAAAACTAACTCAATAATTGGGTCCTATATTAAGGACCGGAGGAGTAATTCATCAGTTCCGGCCATGTTCTGCTTTTGGGGATCATCACCAGAAGGGCACTTGAATTGCTCTTTTGTAGTGTTGATATCACACTTTTGCTCTTCTTCTTTGCCCCAAGTCAGCAAGTACATACCAATCACCACTACCATTGCCCCAACGATGCTGAATTATATTAAACCATACTTCACTCATTAAACTAGACAAAATAAATTAATCAAGTATTGATATAAAAACATCTCAATTCTCTTAAAAAAGGCCGAGTTATTCTGGCAGTTTTAAAAACATGGACGACAGTTCGGTAAAACTGCTGTGTTTCAACTGTTATTAGTAGATCATTCTCTGTAGATTTCCCTTCTGTTTGATATAACGTCCCCAGAATCTTCTGAACTGTACACTCATAGAGGGTAAACTTTAAAGAGAGAGTTAAAAATATAATATAATTGACCGTTCTTCTCCTATCTTTTTACCATACTCTGGAATGTGAGTAGAAGACTTACAAATGAGAAGATTTGGATTAAGGGAAATTCTGTGATCACGCATGCATGTCTGATCTGTGTGATTATGTGTTTTCTTCCTCTAAACAGAATTTCAAAAAACCTTGTAAATCCAAGTATAGCTATTTAGAAATATCCTTCGGTAGTTTTAGTGCTTTTAATTAGAGCAAATAAACGAAATTACGCTATTATTCTATACATGCTGATACTTTCAAAAAATAAAAAAGAAACACAATCACAATTTGAAAACAGTAAACAGAAAGATCAAGCAAGGGTTATATTCGAATATATACCAGCCCAGATGAAGTTTGTCACCGACGACAAAGTATGAAAGAACGGCCGAAAAAATGGTAGGAAGAGGATTAAACAAAGTGACAAAAACTGGGCCTGTTTCTTCTGGGCACCATAGTTGCATGAAAATCAACAAACCAGAGCCCACAACTCCCTGCCATAACAGGACTTAACAAATAATATTAACTGTCAGTCACTATATAACTATATATTTTGTACTCTGTATGTTAATTATACATCTTAATTACTCTCTTTATATGCACTTACACCATATAATATGGACCACAAGTCAACATTAAAACTTATAGTCCACTCCAATATGTTATGTTCCGCTATCACTGTGAAAATTGCCGATTGTACTTCTTCAAGAAGTGCCATAAATGAATTCAATGATAATTGTGGAGGGTTTCTTTTCAAGGTATATGCCTATATATATAAATATTGTATCGTCAGTAAGCCAAAAAACAAATGCAGATAGGTTTGGTGGTACAAATTAACAAGCTAGAAGAAAGCAGAGGCCGGCTTTGGAATAAAGTCATGTAAGTTTATAGTTGATCATTGAGTAGTAGTGATGGAAAAATGAAAACCTGACCTGCATAATGTACCAGATGGCCCATGCTATGCAGCTTGCAATTACAAGGAGCGATCCTTTCAGCCAGTCCTCATGGATATGGTCATTTTTATGAATATGCATCAGAGGAGGCCATACGTTTCTCATTATAGGCCCTCTATATAGTGTCACAATCGTTACCCCACCTAAAGAGACCAAAGTCCCAACTATTTTTGCTATACTGCGAGGATTGCTTAGATCAATAACCTCAATCCTACAATTAATTGGAATATAATACAAGTTCAGAATGGAAATGCAAATATTGCATATATCTATGTTAAAAAATTCCAAATTTATGCAAATCAAGAAAGCTTGGGAGTTACTTGAGTACCACGGCTAGAACAAAGGTCATGGAAGACACTGTGTTGTATATGACGGTCACAAAGGTTGGGTTGGTGTATTTCACACTAGCAAAGGACATGTTTAGACTCAAACTTACACTGAAATTCTTGAAAGAAAATACAATTGCATCACGTTTCTGTGCATTGTTTCCATAGAATGGATAGAAATATTGCAATAACTAATACACTTGTCCTGAAGGCCTTAATTACCCCAACAAAGAAAGCACAAAAATTTCCAAGAAGAGAGCCAGTGTCAACTTGGGCCTCATTTTTCTGCAAGAGAGATGCATAGATAGAGAAAGTTGTTGAAGAGAAATCACTATGCATGGGTACCTAAATGTGTACGTGCCTCTCAAGAAAGCATGCAAAAGGCAACAGTGCAAGGCCAGCTGCTAAACACCGACAGGTTACATAGCCGTAAGGGTTCAAACCATGAACGAAGGAAGGCCTCTGTGATCAAATACAAGATGGAATAGCCCAACTGAACCAAGATCATCAACAAGTGCGGCTTGAACTTGCAGCACAAACCCCCCAGACTACATCTTTTTCGTTCCATTGTTAATTTCAGCGTTCAAGCCTTCTCTCTCTCACCATCACCTTTCACATTCTCTGAAGAAGCATAAAATGCACATATATACTGCGCTGCAAAATTTCCTATTAGACGCACTTAAAATAAAGGGTGCGTGTTATTTCAAAAATTTTGTTTGAATGATTACGTTAAAGTATATGGTGCGTTTATCTTCCTTGAAGAATTTATGTTAAAGCGAATCTTGAGTTACAGAATGATACTATGAGAGCCAATTTGCAGGCTTGCACGTAATTGTAAACGAAAATAATTGGCTGATGATTAAATATTCTTGATGAGATTTGAAAATTACCGTCCCTCTTTCATGTTAAGCCCCTTGGTTCTTTTAGTGCTCTGGAATTAAGCACCATTAATCCATAGGTTCTTGTATGATCATTTGTGCTGATGCTTTGTGCGCTATGACTAAGATCATTAATTCATGCAATAACTATTGTTTTTTTAGCAAACATGTAATAACTGTCTAATAATTGTTTAGACATCATGAGAACAATTTAAATTCAATCTTAAAAAAATTTCTCTATATATCAACCAATACTCCAATAGAAAAATGTTTGCCTTCAATTCCAGTGTGGGAAAAATTTGAGTTTTATTGAACACTATTATTCGCCATTATCGTTGGCGTACTATGACGCCATGGTGAGTACGAGGGGATCGATCTTTACTGAGAGAATAACATTTCAGGCGTAGATATGTTTAGGTGGCTTCCACGAAAAGATAATTCCATTCCCAAGAGTATATTATCACATTCTGATCCCTCATCAATTTCTTTCCATTCACATTTTGCTGCAATAGGACGATATTCCAGCAACGTTGTGTGAAACACATACAAATTCCCCGTCGCACAACTTGTTCACGAAATAATATATACTACCTCCGGTCCTAATTATAAAAACTAGTTGACTAATTTGAGAACATCAAAGAAACAAGTTAAGTTAGTTATTTATAATGGATAGGTGTTATCTTTTTTAAAATGTCCTTATTGATTAAATGTCTTGGTTAAAACTATATTATTAGAAAGACTTTCTTTGAAAAAAAATACATAAATATGATAGACAAAATGAATTGAGATTTTATATGTAGGATCAAAATAAAAGTCAAATGGGGTCTTATATTAAAAACCGGAGGTAGTCTTATTTAAAAATAAATGTCATGAAATAAAAATTATGATGTTTAAATAAAACATAAACTAAAATTGTATCTATATATACATATATTTGTTTGCCACATAAATGAAAAAATTGTTTTTTAATTATTAAAACATTAATAACAAATATTTTAATCTATTTTCGTACTAGGGATATTATTGCCCAGCCACAGTACCAATGTCACAAAAGGTTTATTGCCGTCCATGGAATATCAAACATTAATATCCTATTCCAAAAATATCAACTTATATTTATCATTCCTATGTTTTTATAAAAATATCACGCCACCTAATCAGCATAGAGTAATGTGAAGAAATAACATTGAAGGTCTTTGAGTGGCCTCAAGGCTGGAGGTGTGGGGCCAAAAAAAAGGGTGAAAGTGATCGTTTCTTCAATCTAGCTTAGGTTACTGGGGAGTTGGTAATCTGTGTCCCAAGCCAATTAAACCACGAACATTGGATGGCTTGTGCCGAGAACTTTGGATTTAGAAGCCAAACTTCTCCTAAGCTGAGAATCATCCAATATCCAGATCCAACTTACTTCTATTCATTTGTAAGACGTCGTCTAAACTCTGACCAATCAAAATAGGACAACTCATTCTACATTCATCTTAGTTGGCTGATGAGTCATGGGGAGGGATTAATTTTTGACCCCCCAAAAAAAAATCATCAATAATTCCCATTTCCTTTTCTCCATCGTGTCCTCCTCATTCCTCTTCGACTAGTAAGCCGGCGAAGCTCTTTTCTTCGGCCTGGCCTTTCGCCACTTCCTCTGACCCAAACGCCTCTGTCCTCCTCATTTCTCTTTGACCATGAAGCAGTTACAAGATCTAATTTCAAATCTGAAAAGCGCACACCGCAAAACCCCAATTCAAACGACAAAGGTCTGGGAGACGTGGGAGACGAGGTTTGAACGGTGACGGTTATAGATGAGACGAGGCTCAGATTTAGAGGTTTTGTGTGCTGCAGCAAAGCTTGAGGGAGGAGAAGAAGCAGAACGGGACGATCATGGAGGAGACGAGGTTCAGATGCGGTGGTGTTGTGTGCTGCAATGAAGCTTGATGGAGGAGAAGCAGTAAAATGGTGACAGTCATGGAGGAAGGGGGCTGCGATTGAGGTTAGGGACGATGGAGGGAAGAAGAATTTTTTGTCAAGGTGAGGATATTTTTCTCTTCTCCAAAGCACATTATATAATGAATATGATCAGACATGCAGACACAACGAAAATGCTTTTTAAACCCTTGGTCGAGGACCTTGTATGGGAGGGCTGGGCAGGGCTATCTTGACGCTTAAAATACAGATTTTAACATAATTTAATAATTAAAAATTAATTATATTACTGGCCTTTAAGTTAAAATGTTTAAAAATTTGGATATGGGTTAAGACTTAAGAGTAAGACCCAAGTAATTTCCCAAGTGAGGCGTAACGCGCCTGCAGATCTGTAATGAGCTTCAGCAATCATCATTGAAAATTCTCAGATTTCTTGACGCTTAATACAGATTTTAAAATTTTCAATCGTCTTCAAATCTTGGCCCTTCCAGATATTTCAATCATTTGGCTCTTATTAACCGATCTTCCCCAGTTATCCGTCCATGGGTGAGCCAAAGCAGGAAAATGGGGCAAAGAGCTCAGCCCTCTCCAGTATCTGAAACTGATTCTTCAGAGTTAGTAAGAAACAAAAAAGAATACAAAACAAATATATGTAAACCCCGATTTTCAGTCATTAAGGTTTGACCTTCCCACAATAAGCTTTACACATGGCCATGATACTATCCACAGAATAACCTTTTTGCAAGCCAAAAAAAAAAAAAAACTATATTCTTTTTCATTTTCCTTTACAACCTGCAGCAGCAGACCCAATCCCCTATAGAAATGAATGAAAGAAAAAGTTGAAATTTCAGTAGAAAGTGCTATTCTATCTCTCCTATTAACAGTTCGAAAAGAAAGGATTCCAATGAGATGGACTATTGTTGGGTGAGCGAATTCTGGTTTATCATATAGAGCTTGCTACCTTGCAGCCAATAGCCAGAGCATAATTAGAGATGAGATGAAAATAGTAATCCAGCTCAAGAAAGCCAGAGCGACTGAAATCTGATACTTCTGACATTCTTGTCCGAACTTGCAGCTTCCCGCATCATTGAAGTACAGGACTGCGACGCCAGCTGAGGCAGAAGCTGCCGCTAGAGATAATGTTGCTGTTACCTGGGGACATGATTGATTAGATGTGGGAAACAATGCCTTAACGAAAAGCTCTTTACTAGAGATTGTACACCTGATCTACAAAATGTGACGCCACTTGTTGAAAACAAAATTACATATCAGATGAAAGTCTCATCAACGAATACATCTGACATGATGTTCTATTTATAATTGTCCTGATTCTTGACCTTCATAAACTTTGTGATTCTTATGGTATCTAAGCAAATAAGACGGTGAAGGTTTGGCAGAGGCTAACCCAATCTCCAACAACGAAGAGGCTAACCAAGACAGAATTGTGAAGGACCTTCTTTCTCACTAAAGCATATGCATCCAGCAAGGCAATCACAAAACTCCAAATGACTTGCAAACCCATCGAAGCTATCAAGTAACTGCAATTCCAATAGAATTCTCAGCATCAAGTTCCTATACATCAAACATTTAAGCATTGCTATCAAGACACAAGAAGTATTTTTAATCTTTATGAGTAAACAAGTTCTAAGGTGTGAATATTCATACTGTCAAGGAAAAGCCAAAGTTTACTGATGGTACTGGAGTGTATCATACTATAATTAAGTTTTACCAAAGTCCTCCATCTATACCCAAGTCGATTTTCCATCTCCACAAGAAGCCTGGTTTCACGCTACACAAAATGCATTCTATCCAGAGTTTTACGATCAGTTTAACATGTTGAAAAGTCAAAGCTCATTCAGCTATTTCAATTTCAGTCTCAGTTACGCGTTCCGCACCAACTAAACTTGCACAGTTTAAGAGAGCTTAGCATATAATGGCTATTTGATTAATTAAATATGTATATATCATGCATAGTAAAATGCAGTTGTGGTCCGTGTAAGTAATATTCAAATGTTTAGGCATGTCAGAAATAGAGAGAGAAACAGAGAGAATAACAGCTGAAATATCATGGGAACATGTCCATCATCTAACCACAAAGATACAAGAAGCCCGATGTGCCAAAAATTACCACTTGATCATCTCAGGCCTAAATTTTCAGGGCATTCTTCTAATTCTTAGTAACGCATACATTCATCTTTAGGGGAAATCAAAATATCCATGTGAAGAATTTTGCTTCAAAATCAATCAGAAATAAGACGCTGAAGCGGAATCATTTAGGTTTTTGTTGAAAAAAATGTGAAAAGACAATGAATGACAACCAGATTTTACCAATGTGGCAGGGTTGGTTGTATTAAGTTATTGTACTGAACTGACTAATGCAGTCCAGGCAGCATTCTATTGAACATCAGTGAAATTTTCCCAGTGTGACTGAGTAAAAGTAGTTTCAAGGCAATAGTCAAGAGTTAGATGTTGCTTTCTTTTTTTAAAAAAAAAAAAAAGTTAGATATTGTTATATTTTACAAACATATATAATGGTAAATATTACTCCATCCCTTTCTTTTTATAAGCAACTTTGGATTGTATCACGTAAATCAAAAAATTAGTTAAAAACAATAAATATGTAAAAATTAGAAGTTCTTTTTCCAAAATATTTTTATTTATGAAGGAGGGAGAGAGTATAAGAAAATTATTACAAGAAAGAGGACTATAAAAGAGAGAAAATATAGATGGAAAGAGATGATGGTTTGGAAAATAAGATAAGAAATATATTAAGTATTAAAATAAGTAATTAATGAGGATAAAATAGAAAATTTGTTATAAAAATTTAAGACACCCTGCAAATATTGTTTGTATTTGAAGATAAGAAGGAGATAATAGCTGTTGCTTATTAAAAAGAGACGGAGGTAGCACATTCAATTGTCAAATACATGGAAAAGCAACTAGGGCGGGCATTAAGGAAGTAGTGACATACAGGATTTCCCTCTCTAATTTTCCAAAAAATTTGAGAATGAAAAATGCTCCCTACTCCCCAGAATACAATGGATTAATATTAGATTCTGCTTCGATGACATCTGAAACAAGCAAGAGAAACAAAAAAAATCCCCAACTTATTAGAATGGCCACATAATACATGTCGATAAGACAATCCATATCCTTCCCTTGATCTCCAGCTCCCAGCAGGACATGCATTACGCAGCGAGATTTTAATTTTGCAACCCAAAACGTAAGAGACGGATGTCTATGCGTTTAATTTTTCTTATATGTAGTGACTGCATTCAATAAGGTAACCCAGTAGCGAATCTGAAACTAGGTACATTCGATCTAGTCAAGTCAAAATTATGATGCATTTCAATTGTAACCAAAATTGTGTCCCATTCTATTCCTCCGATCCTAAATGTAATCCATTTTTGTAGTATTATTTAACGGAGTCATTAATGTCTACCCTTAGATAACAACAAAAAAGCCCACATGTACTCAATTTGGATGCAAGGTGCTGAACTTAAGAAGGTGAATTTGGTTGATATTCATAAATCACAAAACGGCGTTTTAACTTCAAGCCAAATGAATCGAATCAATTACTCACACAGGGATAACATTTGACAATAGTGTTCTGAAAGCGCAAGAATCGCCCCGCAAAGACACTCCAGATTTCAAATTCCAAAGAAATAAGCGCAGTAGAAAAAGAATTCTTCTTTAGGATGAGTTGTATTACCAAAAAGCCGTGAAATTGTAGAAACTGGATGTGGTGCCCATAGCAGCAATTGATCCAACAGCGAAAATGCACTGTGACAACCTCAGGGCCAGCGCAGTGAGAGTACCAGGTGTCCCAGGAAAATCCTTCATTTTTTTTGTTCCTCAATATAAAAGAATCTTCAGATTCTGACTGGTAAATACACAGTCATCTTTCTATTTTAGCAAAGTGCAGGGAACAAAATCACCCAAGAAGGGGGGAAAGGGCAAAGAAAGACAAGACCCCGATTATCCACTTTCCTTTGGGAGACTAAACACAGAGAGAAAGTAACAAAGGAATCGACATCAAGAAAGGAAGGGCGCTACAAATTGAAATTCAAATCCGGGATGAGGCAGAGCCTAAACCGAAGATGAAGAAAATGAAGGAAGATGATGAGATAAACATAATCGGGTCGTGATAAAAAAACAGTCAACAAGAGGGATCGGCGCGCAGAATAGCAAGAAGTAACTAGCAAGAATCAGAGAAGGACCAAACAGCCCCACGTTGCGTGCTTTTGGGGCATCTTCTTCTTCTGACGCGATGACAGCGAAGGCTGAGCGCACGCGTCTAGAATGAGCGTGGGTGTGAAATCCACGGCCTCTGACTCAGAAATTAGCGGGGGCTACTTTGCCTAAATGCCACGTGTTTAGCACTCATCAGTCATCACCGGCTGAAGGTCAATTCGTCGGCACATGAAATTTAATCCGCCGGCCTTCGGATTCGCGTATAAACGGCGCACATCTGAAATTTATTACCTACGCTACCGCTGATAACTGAAATGGGTCTCTCCGCGCCGCTATATAAATAATTAAATATATTATTTTTATTTTTGATATAAAAATTAGTTAAATATGTTATTTATAATAAATATATGTTATCTTTCCTAAAATATATTTACTAATCAAATGTATTGACTAAAACTATTATTATTACAAAAACTATTTTAAAAATAAATAAATATGATAAATAAAATAGATTTGAGTCTTATATTTATAATCAAAATAAAAATAAAATAAACTCTTATATTAAAAGAGAGGAGGTTGTAGTTTTTTTTTCAAAACACCTGCTACGTTACCTACACACACTCGGAAGTCGTTTTGGGGGTGGGGGTGGGGGGGGTGGGATTGGCCTGCCTTTATAAGTTATTTTGGATGAAAAGATAAACTTCTAAAAAAAATTTCAATTTTCTATGAAAAAAATGAAGAAGAAGATATTAATTTTTATTTATTTATTTATTTTTCTGGCGAAAAATATTGGCGGAAGGTTGAAGCCCATGGAAGACAAAGCCGGGAAAAGAGGCTACAGTTACGCTATTTGGTAGGGTTGGCAAAACTCGGCTCAAGATCAACTCCTCTACTGATGTGAGTTACTTGTTAGTGAGGATCTGCTATATTTGCTATTTATTTGCTTTCAAAAACGCAAAAGCAGATTGATGATGAGATTTAGCCTTGCTGCTGTTGTTTTGTGCTGACCTTTGATGAATGCAGTTTTCATTCAAACCGTAAGATGAGGAACGATCTCCTGCCAAACGTATCTGTGAACGGGGCTTCAATTCCAAAATAAACTTTGCTCTTCGTATTGGTTATTGGCCGAACAAATGGATATGGGAAACTTCACCCAGCAGACTAGTTTATTATATTCTATCAAGATTGAGAATTGACTTTTTTCACTTTTGATGACCAGTAATTAAAGTGAGGCAAAAATAAGACGGCTACCACCTGTTCTTTGCAAACGATGTCTTGGCTTCAGTTCTCAATATGCCACGAATTCAATGTTGAATCATTCAGTTCTTAGAACGTTGAGGAGACGTTTCAAACCCCACGACAAAGTAGCGATGCCAAGAAAAAAGGCTAAGCTTGAACAAACAGAGTACAGCCAGCGGAGATAGTTCAAAAATGGAAGAGAATCGGGGAACACTTGATCTTAATATCTGCCGTGTCCGCAAGCTACGACTCATCATCAATCGTCTACACACGCTCCTCCATTCCACTGCTTTACTTTTCTTGTTCTGCTACAGAGTATGCTTCTTCTTCCAAGACCTAGAAACCAAAACAAGCCCCTTGTTGTCCTGGATTCTTGTTTTCGCATCAGAAATCCTTCTATCCTTCATTTGGATTCTCGGCCAAGCTTATCGATGGCGTCCCGTTTCGAGAACTGTGTTTCCAGAAAGATTACCAGAAGACGACAAGCTTCCTGCTATTGATGTGTTCATATGTACTGCAGATCCAGTGAAGGAACCCACTGTGGGTGTTATGAACACTGTACTGTCAGCCATGGCTTTGGATTACCCCCCTCAGAAGCTTCATGTGTATCTCTCGGATGATGGCGGTTCCAATCTGACTTTGCATGGTATGAAGGAGGCTTGGAAGTTTTCGAGGTGGTGGCTTCCCTTCTGCAGAAAGTACAGAGTAAAGTGTAGATGTCCCAAGGCTTTCTTCTCTGCTTTCGAGACAGACGATGATTTTGCTGGGAATAGTTTGTTTATGACAGAGAAGCAAAAGATCAAGGTTTCTCATGAAGCTGTGTTTAATTGAATTATGGGCTATACATTGTTGCTTCTTGGTTACAAGAGTCCAACTTCTTGCAGGAAAAATACGAGGCTTTTGAGGAGGAGATAAAGAGAGCCAGAGAAGGCAGAGCCCCGAGCAATGATGAGCAGGATCACCCATCTATCATTGAGGTGTGAGCTCATTCTGTCCAAATGCTGTTTCTTTATTTCTCACTGAAGCCTTGAAAAAAGAAAGTTCACAAATTCCAAAACACATATTCAACTTAACTAACTTTCTTAATATTCTCAAATTAATTACACTAAGGAGCTGAGACTCTTTCGTATATAATGGTAATCAAAAAAAGAATAATGGTTGGCAGGTGATCCAAGACAATACAAGTGAAGTGGAACAAGTGGAATTACCTCTTCTTGTCTACGTTTCCAGGGAAAAAAGGCCTTCTCATCCCCACCATTTTAAGGCTGGAGCACTGAATGTCCTTGTACGCCTATCTCTCTCTCTCTCTCTCTCTCTAATTTTTGTCCATATGCTTTCGATTATAATGTACATAGCTCTTTATGCATGGATATTTTTGCAGCATCGTGTGTCGGGTGTGATGAGCAATTCCCCATACATCCTCGTACTAGATTGTGACATGTTTTCCAATGACCCTACTTCAGCTCGACAGGCTATGTGTTTCCACCTTGATCCTAAGATATCACCATCCCTCGCTTTTGTTCAGTTTCCTCAGAAATTTCACAATGCCAGCAAGAACGACCTCTACGACAGTCAATTGCGATCCGTATTTACAGTTAAGGCTGCAAAAAAAAAACAGACTTTTCATCTACCTGACATCTATATCATCAGGCTTCATTAACTTACTTGAGTTTTTATGGGCAACTTTAATTAGGTTAAATGGCAAGGTATGGACGGGCTTCAGGGTCCTGTGTTATCCGGTACAGGCTTCTATATTAAGAGGGCCTCGTTATGTAGAAAATTCACTGACCAAGGTATTTGAGCATGATGTTATGCCACTTATTGTTTCAAAAACAAGTTTACAGTGATTATTCAAATATGTTAGGCACTGACCTGATGGAACTTCGACAATATTTTGGCTCATCCAATGAGTTCATCAAATCCCTCAACCAAAACTACATCTCTGCTATTACGGAGCCCGGTGGGCATGCATTGCTGCAAGAGACTCGGCTATTGGCTTCTTGTGACTATGAAATCGGAACTAAATGGGGTCAAGAGGTAAGTAGATTGTGCATAAATATGTCAAATATAAGTATCCAACTCTAACGCATAGCATATTACATCGAATGGGATGCCTACAAACAACGAATTATATTTCTGCAGGTCGGTTTCTTGTATGATTCTGTGGTCGAAGATTATCTCACTGGGTTCATCTTGCATTGCAATGGCTGGACTTCAGTATTTTGTGAACCATCTAGGCCACAGTTCCTGGGAACAGTTACCACGAATTTGAATGATGTACTGATTCAAGGATCCAGGTGGAGTTCTGGACTGTTTGAAAATGGTATAAGCAAGTACTGCCCCCTTATACGTGGGCCTTTCAGGATGTCTCTTCTTCAGAGCATGTGCTTTGCAGAACTCACATATTTCCCTTTATATTGCTTGCCTCTTTGGTGTTTCGCTACCATCCCTCAACTCGCTTTAATAGATGGAACTCCCCTGTACCCTAAGGTAACACTAGCAACCACTATATATATATATATATAGAGAGAGAGAGAGAGAGAGAGTTGTAAACCTATAATTTGAACCCTGAATGAATGCCTGAAGGATTAACATGCACTAAGTTTGTTATTCTCAAGATTTAACTTGTGCATTTGCTGACTGAAGTTGAAAACGCTTACTAATTCAGACACCAAATAGTTTAGTCTTATAAAGTTCCTTTGCTCCTATTTTCCCCATAACTGCTTCAAATATTTAAACTCATTTTCTTTTTCTTTCTTTGGTTCTTTTGAGTGTTTGATAGGTCTCAGACCCATATTTCCTGGTCGTGTTGTTCATTTTTGTGTCAGCACTTTCTAAGCATTTACTGGAAGTCCTTATAAGTGGAGGAACACTTTATCAGTGGATTAATGAAGAGAGGATGTGGATGATAAAATCAGTCACATGCCATCTATATGGATGTTTGGATGCTGTGATGAAGAAATTTGGCATAAGAGAAGCTAATTTCTTGCCCACCAATAAAGTGGAGGATGATGAGCAAACGGGGCTATATCAAATGGACAAGTTTGATTTCAGGGCATCAAATATATTCCTTGTACCAGTGCTTGCCCTCCTTACCCTCAACATAGCTTGCTTCACAGTGGGTACTTATAGGGCTGTTTTTGTGGGTGATTGGGATAGTATGTTCATTCATCTGATCCTTTCAGCTTATATTATTGTTCTAAATTATCCTGTTATTGAAGGTTTGGTCATTAGGAGAGATAAGGGGCGTATTCCATTTTCAGTAGCTGTAATATTTGCCGTCCTGGCCACTCTTGCGGGTTTGGTATTTTATGCGCTGTCCAGGAATGTGTGAAGTGACATAAGCGAAAACACATCGCAGAGATTCTGTTTTCAATTTAGATAAATATTTTGCTTCAATCTAAAGGGTTGAATCATATATAAATGTGTGTATATTTATATATATATATATATATATATATATTTCTTCCCTCTTTTTTTGGTAATCTTGCTTTCTTGTGATCCTTTTATCACCAAATGAATATATACATGCATAAATATATATATATATATATATATATTCTTTGGTTTTAGTTTGGCAGGTCTTGCACATCCCACGAGCCATATGTTCTTTTTATTGTCACAACTTACAACCCAACCTCTTAACAATTTGCCAAAAACTACATGTTGATGGTAACAATTAGGGTCGGCGGAAGAAAAGTAACAACTTGGAAATAACTTCGGGTCCACTATCAACTCTCATTGGGTGACGCATAGGCATAGGATGTTATGATTTAAAATGACTTTAAGGTAGAACTGGGCTCTAAAAGGAGTTTTTGCAAATGGGCTCATATGGTGCCCCGCAGTGCAAAATTAGGAGAAGGTATTGGGCCGAAGGTCATCTTTTGGCCCAAGTACCGCGGAAGCACCAAAAATTCACAATGAGTTAGTTCTGACCCGTTTATCATTTACGTTATTCATAGAGACTGAGGAATGCAATTTTTCGAAAGCGAAGTCCAAGATCTAGTTACATATGAAGGGGGAAAAAACTTCGTACCAAAAAACATGTTTCTAAGAACTCATAATTTTGTATCTTCTTTTAAAAGATAATAAAAATTCTAAAATTATCGAATATAATTACATAAACACAATAGGTATTGCAATATATATATATTTTTATCTTCTCTTACCTGATTTATGAGATTTCAGAAAATTGTTTGTGCGCAAAACGTAAGTAAATTAGGCAATTAAATCAATGTAATAATATGTAATAAAGCATAGATTCGCAATGTATAAACACAGTGAACGTTGGTTTAAAAAACTGTTTCGCTCATTGATAAAACTGTACGTGTGTGTGATTTGTCAGAAAATGTGTCTAATTAATAATAATAATTTATGACATTTTTTAAGAAATTAATAAAATCCACTTTTAAAGCTTTTGTTTTTTTTAATGGAAATTAAAGTTTTTGTTTTAATATAATAAATAAATTAAAGACCTTTGTTACTTATATGTATAGCCCTTTGTAGACCAATCACAAGTCCTAGCGTAACTTAGAGGACAAAAGAGCTTTACTACTTGTCGGTATCATAAAAAGCATCCTAAACCGATCCAGCCAATGCGTCCTTTATAGTTTATAGTTTATACTATGGCTCACATGCATCGCTCAACCTCAACTAGTCAGAAAAAACCAACACAGATATCGATCTAATTGTTTTATTCTTTTATGACAGAGAGTTTCCGATAAGAGAGAGCCATTTCGTTGATGGACGAGACTCCAATGCACACATAGAGAGAGAGACACACACACATATAAGCATATTGAAGCTGGAATCTTTCTTATCTGCGTTTTTTGTCATGCATAAACATGGTAAGCATTCATTATTGATTATACATAAGAGCCAGATCCAGCAGGTAAAAGATGAAAGACTAACAAATATGAGCGGCAGAGACGGCACCTTGTTACACTTTGGGTATTACCTGCAATTTCGGCTCTACAACCTCATAAAATCAAACCCATATTTAGCATCACGTTGCTTCATCTTTTGATGAATCTGGGTTGGATATAGCATGATCTTTTGTCTATCTGAGCTTCTCTGATCACGTTCCTTCCATTCTTCATCACAAAATGGAAATAAGGAAATCTTCCTGCACTGCTCTAGTTTCTGGATTGAGACAGCTTGCCAACGATGATATACTTCAAGTTCTCATCTTATGCTGGTTTGGAGTCTTCAATCTAGGAACCAAGTTCAGTTTAAGAAATTTGAGCTTTCTGGTGATTCAGATTGCCACCACTGACACCGAACCTGGCATGGAAATAAATGCCCTAAGACACTCAACTACCTAGCTACAACCTCTTGTACATACTAATGACCCTCCTAGATATATTATCTGGCAATGCTTTTATCATCAGTTCGTCCATCTCTGTCAGAATCAATCTTTGTTGATATAATATTTTATCAGTTCTTCGAATTCCTCTGTCAGGATCGATATCTCAATTAATATATTGTGTAAGATCGTTCGTGATGAAGTTACTCCAGGCCTCTTATGTCACATGATATTCCTATACGAGGTATCAATAACAAAGAAAATTTTGATCCTATAATGTACATCCTCTAGTCCACTTCCCGCTCTATAGCTAATGGTTCTATACAACAAGGAAAGTTACTGTTTTTGACGCCTCAATTACTCAAATTTTCTTTGTATTACAAAAGTATAAACGAAGTTAAAATATGGTCAAAATATTCTGAATGATAATAATTCATAAAAATATAATTAATTTAACTTGATAATTTCAATGCTGCTTTTTTTTTTCCTTCCTGGCGGAGTGTCATTATCAATCGAATATATATATTTGAATTGAAAACATTCCTTAATTTTTATTGATCAAATATATTTTCCTTTATTGTATTATGCACAAATAATATACGTTTCTTTTTTATTATAGAGACGGTCAATTGTATCTTAAATTTATTTTAGATAGTTACCTGAAAGATGAGCACAGTATTATCTACTGGTTATTTTCATCTAACTGATGGGTAATGTGACACATGGCCTGGAGCGAAGAGTCAACAATACCTTGAGTACTAAATTTGCCCGCAGGCGAAAAGACTCGGCGCGTCGCAGATTTGAAAAGAGCTTAATATGTAACCTTAGCTAGTGTACCTAATACCTGCATCTGATTAGACAACATCGCATCTCTGCATTCTAATTTGGTGTGCTCCAACAGAATTTATTTTGTTGTCAAGTTGAACCATGGCCCATAGAAATGCCAAACTTCTCTCTAGTCAAATGCGTACATACTTCATCATATTTACTCAAAAGCTGTCGGTTAATCAGTAAATTCATCACCAATGCTTCTATTCACTTAACAAATGAACGGATTCTGCAATTTACTAAACAGTTTTATCGACTAACACTCAAGTATATCTTTGATTTTCTTGTAGAATTAGAGCAGACATTAGAAATTTATATACAAGTGCAATGTTAAATATAAGGGAATTGATGACATATTATGTATCTAGAGTGAGTTATCTTCTTTTTTTCCCGTTAGCCGTGAATTAAAGCGTAATGTAGACCTCATTGGTCATTAGCACAGAAAGTGAGAAGGGCCATATATGTAGTGTTTTATAGAGTAATATTTAACTGAGATGGTCAAAATTCAATGAGTAATTAACCTCAATTATTGCAGTAGCGTCGATACGTTAATAAACGAGCAAGATCGTGATGATATACCTTTTTCCTAATTCAAATCCCAATCCCAATGCTGGCTTTTGATTGGCCACGAGAAATCATACCTCCACTTCCATTTATGACCTAATGTTCCATATTTACCCTGCGCAACTGTTAAAAAAATCCAGGAGTTAATTGTTGGATCTTTACCGAGAAGAAATTAAAGTGCGTGTGTGTGTGTGTGAGAGAGAGATTTACCAGACCGGTGAAAAAATTATGGCATAAAAGTGTAACCCTGGCAGTATGAGTTTCCAAATTTAGTAACCAGTGTGATTCCCGGCCTTTGGCTTGTAAAGTTGATGCTCTTTTTCCAAAACTCTACTTATACCAGTTACTATTACCCTCAGGCTGCTCATTCATCCACCACCATCAGTCTTCTTCTCAGGTAAGTACTAAGCCTTATATTAACCTCCCCCCCTCTAGCTAGCTTGGTGGTCACAACTCACAAGTCGCAACTTTTGAGAGATATGATATATGATATGAGCCCTTATCTCAGTTTGAACTAATTTTTTTAAGTCTATATATGATTTGAGTTTGACAGTTTCCAGTTTTTGTTCAAACTATTGCTGTAGGTGATCTGACTGAGAAATCAAAAGGGGATAGAAGATGGAGAGAAAGAGTTTGAACACCAGCGTTAAAGATGGCACTTTCACCACCAACAGCAACAAGAAACAAATGATGAAAGAATACTGGGACTGCAAATCTCAGATCAGCTGTGGAGGGGATGATTATATAAATGGATTCTCGTGGCCTCCACGATCATACACTTGTAGCTTCTGCAAGAGGGAATTCAGATCTGCTCAAGCCCTTGGTGGCCACATGAATGTACATAGGAGGGACAGAGCCAGGCTCAGGCAGTCACCCCCTACTCCATCTCATGACAGTCCCTCCCCCATGCTCAACCTAAATCTTAACCCTACCTCTGGTCCTGGCTTTTCAACCCCAACTATGTCCTCGTTACCATCTTCTTCTTCTTCTACAATGCTCAAAAATTCATTCTCTGCTACCACCTTACCTTCCTTGTTTTCTCCTATACTTTCTCCGTCTTCTCCTCCCCTTGCATCTACATCTCCTTCTTATGATCTCAAAAATCGGGTTGTGGACGGTATAATGTTGAACCCCTCAAGCACGAAGGCCTCAGAATCTACAAACGTGAAGAATGCAGATTCTTTATTGGGGTTTGGAGACTGTGACGACCCATTCGCCAAAGAAGATGGTTGCAAAGTGGTAAAAAAGGCTGAGATCATTAGGTTGGACTTGCATATAGGCTTGCTTAGCGATTCCAAGGATGATTTAGATCTGGAGCTTCGATTGGGCACTTACTCCTAGATTTTATATTCCTTGCATTATGTGAAGAAGTAGAGCTTTTATATATAGATAGTTCACTATGTTAACTAACGATTCGAAGAGTTAGATAGAAGTTATCTATGGAGCAGTGTTGTGCATAATGAAATCTATTTATCTTTACCATCTTTATCGTTTAACGAGAGACCATATACAGAGATGAAATCTCTCGGTTCCATTACTTGGTAAAGCATGAGAAGCTACCATCTTATCAAGTTCAATTTGTTGTACTTGACTGCCTTTACTGAATTTCTTCCTATATATATAGAGAGGTATTTTCATTTTACCTTATTAGACTACCCTTATCCCTCCTCCCCCGCCAGCTTGTCGGGTGCCTGCGTATGAACTGTACCTGCACTTGCCTT